GAGAAATAAATACGATTTCCTTCATGAAAAGAAAGATGTGTCGCCAAACTTGCCTATCTGACGTTCAAAAGCAATATCTAAGCTACATTTTGACACTAAATTCTATAGGGGTCATGTCAATCATCTACTTTTGAAACAATTGGTCAGTTGATTAAAACGTCACATTTTGCACTGGACACTATCCCCTCCCTCTGCTGCCACAGATTGAAATTCTTAATAAATTAAGCCAAAATTAATACGCCATTTGACTCCAAATTTTCCTTCAGATTACACAAATAAACACACTTTAGAAGAATCGCGTATTGTAATTGCAAAAAGATGACAGTTGTACCAGTATGGGTTTGTGTAAAAAACCGGGTGACCGGGTAACCGGGTACCCGGTCGACCGGGTACCTAACGTTCCTAGCAGGGTTACCAACTTTTCCACATTTCCCCCGATATATAGTAGCGAATTGACTTGACAGACTTAGCCTACCGAGTGCACTGCTGTTCGATATTTTTACCCTATACGAGACAGAGCGCTAGCACTTTTTAAAATAATAAATCCAGCAAACAGTGACGCCCATGTCACGTTGCTCATAAGTAGCATATAAGTTCCTAGAAGACGTTGCACATTTACGTTCTTTACACATCGAGGCAACGTAAACATGAGACATCTATTGATGGTATAAAAAGAACGTTGTTGTAACGTATCCGTAAAGTTCGTTAGTGTGGAAAACAAACAGGAACGTTTGATTTTTTACAACATTGGTCCATATGTGACATAACTCAAACGTTAAAATTCAACGTTGTCAAAACAGGCTTTTAATATCAAAATATTTGTTGGTGGAAAAAAACATGACAAAGACTTTGTGTTCTCACTAAGTCGGTTCATTTCCGACGTATTGTTAACGTTAAAATTCAACGTTGTCGAAACGTTTTTTCGATTTGAAATAACCTCAAAACGTGACGTCAATAATGACGTTATGGACTGTATTGATCTGACGTTATTTAAATATTCAGCAAAACGTGGATGGATGGTTGAATTTCAACATTGTGGAAATGGCTTCAAAATATTTGTGAGTTAAGGAAACGTTGAAAAGACGTCAATATGTTCTCACTAAATCGGTACATTACCGACGTTATTTTAACGTTAAAAGTTAACGTTGTCAAAACGTTCTTACGATATGAAATAAAAAAATCCTAACCCTGCTAGGAATGTTAAGTATCCGGTCACCCGGTTTTTTACACAAACCAGAAACGTTACAAAGACATCAATATGTTCTCACTAAATCGGTTCATTACCGACGTTATTTTAACGTTAAAAGTACGATGTGAAATAACCTCAAAACGCAGGGGCGGATCTAGGAACCAAAAAGGGGGGGGGGGCAAATTGCAGGTCAGAGAAAAAACGTCCGTCCAAAAAAAATTTGGGCCCCTAAAATCCAAAAGTGGGCCCAAATTTTGAAAATTTGAGGCCCATTTTCTTCAAAATTTGGCCTGGAATTAAAAAAAAGGCCTTAAAAGGCCCAGTAATGACCAAAAAGGCCCACTTTTTGGGGCCTGAAGGCCTTGTTTGGCCCAAAAAATGTTTGGGCCCAATTTTTTTTCTGGGCCCACCCAAGGGGGGGGGGGCGGGCCCCCAGCCCCCCCCCCCCCTAATCCGCCAGTGAAACGTGACGTCGAAAATAACGTACATGTATCGTCCAAACGGAGAAGTGAACAGCTGATTAATAGTGACCTTTGAAATCGAATTAAGTCGATCCGCGGCTTACTTTTGGTCTCTAACTGTGTCTTACATCAGTATCATCAATCCGTGTAAGTATTGGAGCGCTGAAGTACTTCCTTTTCGATCAAGACTTGTAATTGTTAAGTCGAGTGAATGTTTTTACTTCCAAATTCCAATAGGGCGTTTTCTGCTCGGACATTTTCGTAAATCTCCGGTGGTTGTCAGAACCTAACTAATTCTCAAAATTCATTTCGTTCGTTGCGTATCTCGAGCCTAGCAAACCGCCATATTGGAAATAGGTCTAAAAAAATTCACTCGATGAACAATTTACAAGTCTTGATCGAAAAAGAAGTATTTCAGCGCTCTAACACTTATACGGATTGATGATACTGATGTAAGACACAGTTAGAGACCAAAAGTAAGCCGCAGATCGACTTAATTCGATGTCAAAGGTCACAATCATTCAGCTGTCCAAATGCTCCGTGGGGATACAGGGGCCAACCAGGAAGGTTCCTTTCAATCAGTTTTAAAATGAATAGATCTTACGAGAATATAGAGAAGGCTTTGGACCTAAGTAACATAGATCCACAGATGTTGGCCAGATCGTTTTGTAGTGGAATCTCATAGGCTCAAAGCGGAATAATACAGGAATAATAATTGAGCTACTGATTCCGACTACAAAAGAATCTGGCCGGGATCTATCAGTGGCGTAGCCAGGAAGGAAAAAGCGACGAGGCAAAAATATTTCATAACCAATTAACCCCCTTGGTCACATTGTCGCAACGCAAAAGGCATACGTACACCATACGTACAGCCGGGCATACATCAAGGCAACACAATTTTCTATCATTATGATACTTCAACCCAACGCAATTGAGTAATATACTAATTCGGACTGAAATTAAGTCATCTTTTGAACAATTTATTTATAAAACAACTCTTCAGTTTTACAGAAAGGGACAGTTTTAGTAGAACAATATCAAACAGGCAAACAATTCACCAACAATTTGTTACAACGCTGAGCGACGGACGCCAAACATCGTCCACTTTTTTTAAGTAAGAGACAATAACAATACAGTGCGTCCCATAAAAAACGCAACAAACAAAAACATTGTAAAATCACAAAACCAGTGATGATAACATCAATTTGATTTAATTTACCAGGAAGCCACATGTCTCCTCTTTCCAATGGTATGTCAATTATTCATATAAGACCACGGACCACTGAATAATCATTCATCTTTCATAAGATGACAGGCAACGACTGTTTATGCCACTTTCCATATGTTTACTTACCCTACTATCACACCAAACTAGTTCTCACTACGTTCTCGAAAACGGGCTTCAACTGTGTACGAACTGACTGGACCTACTAAGAACCGTTTGGGATCTATTTACAAACTTCATCGAACGTACTCGAACGGGTAGGTCCTCTAGAACTTAGACAATGCTCAAAATGTTCTCGTGGTCGTCACGTTCTACAATTAGAACGAGTGACAACGTACTAACGACGAGCTGGACGTACTACGAACGGAACCGTCGTACTTCTATCCTACTAGGGACGTTTTAACAACGAGTTGAACTGTTAAACCGATTAAGAACGTATTTAACACTGCTTATGAATGAGTTAGCAAAAATATAGCTATCACACCAAACAAGTTGCCACTGCGTTCTTCAAAACTGGTTTTAAACTGTGTGCGAACGGAATGAACGTAGCTGCAACTTTCTAAGGTCTATTTACGAACTTTATGAACGTTCTTAGACGGGAATGTGATTTTAGAATTTTGAATCGATTCAAAATTCGATGGCGACCATACCGTTCTGTAATCAGGTCATGTTGACCTTCTAGACTAAGGGACGCGTTCTACTACGTTGCACACCGACGTGGTGCGACCTGAACGAACTGCGAACGAGATGGACGTATTGAAGACTGTTTAAGAACGAAGAAGCTAATTATTTTCAGACATATTTCCCGACCACAGCCAGATTGAGCCCGTTTTACGACGTTTTCGTAGGACTGGCAAGAACGGGTAAGAACTAGTTTGGTGTGATAGGGGGGTAAATGAAATTGATGTAATCATCACTTGTTTTGTGACTTTGCAATGTTTTTCTTTGTTGCGTTTTTTGGGACGCACTGTATAGGTAATGTAAGTTACACGATATCACTCTGGTGGCATAAAATATAGCAATCAATTAAATACAGATAAAAGTCAGTTTTTTCATATTCATCGGTTGTATCAGACAAGAATATACTTGCTTTTCCTCCCTAGGAAAAATCTATCGTTTAAACTGAATCTTTCATAGATTTCGTATCGCAAACAAACATTATCATCATGTAATATACTTAACAGCTTTTTATCAAATATACTGGCCATGCAATATACTTATTAATATATCCTTTCGGTACACGATGGAATCAGACTATATTACTTGTGTCTTTTTTTGTAATTCAAAAAGATCAGTGATTTAAATGCTATAATTGTAATTTGGAGTATTATTTGACCAAAGTAAAATTGGTTGTCTGAGTACGTTTGAGATAAATATTATACTTTCAATAGAAAAAAATGAATTTCAAAGATCGGCGTTTCAGCGCAGTGCACATTGATTACTTTTAAATTTTACACTTTACGCTGGAAGTTATAAAAATGACTTTTTTACCGGCGTAAAATTGAATTTCAAATAATAATATTTCCTTGAGTATGTTAGTGTTGATAGACTTTCCTAGGTCGTTATATCTGGGCGATAATAAAAAAGAAATACCCTTAATAATAAGGTATACCTGATCTACTTGCCACAGTGAGTCTTATATCATAATACCAATCAAAAATCTGAAAATGGCGCCGTTATAATTTGGTTCAAAAAACGAAGGCTAACAATTTGATGCGATATGCGAACGGTATAAAATCGCACGCAAGTGTCTTGAAAGTAGGCTTCTTTAAGTTCTATATAAAGAGTAAGTTACATGAAATTATATTTAGATAAAATCAACAGGACACAAGCTGTTATTTTAATGGTATGTTTTCAAGAAAAAGATGCTCATAGTTTTATATCCGAACATTATTTTTCAAAGGCTGAAAAAAGCGACGAGGCAGCTGCCTCATTTGCCTCAACGTAGCTACGCGCTTGTCTATGCATCTATATTTCAATGTTAAGGTTTTAAATTATATTATATTCAAATTCTATCACTGGGCTTATTAGCCTTTTGCACATTATTGACATAGACAATACCGCACACATGTTGAAATTAACCGACCCAAAAAGCGAATTTGATTTAGTGGAGTGCAGCCAGTAAATCGACAAATCAAAAGTGGAGTGATACTACATTTTCACAATTTTTGCAAATTCGTCAATTATGTAGACAAATATACTATTAGACTACACTTTTAAAAATGTCAGGAGACCAGGATACTACACAATGGCTCTCAGTGACTGAGGAGACATTATTCCTGCACGATGGTTTGATTCGTGTCACAGACCTCGTAGAGCTTCCATCGGATGTGAACACTGCACATGAAATTGATCATGAAATGGTATGCTTTGATTCCACAAGTCCAGCCGAACTCAGCAAATGTTTGCTTCGGGTGTGCGGAACATATAATAATGCATTTGCTCGCTTACTTGAATATCGATTAAATGCACTCAGAGGACTCTGGGAAGCAAAAAGTCAACTTGCAATTGCGGAACAAACCGATCGTGATACATCAAATGAAGAAGCCATTGCACTCTTGAAGAAGCAAGGCCTGTGGAAAGAATCAGACAATGCAACTTTCTCAACACGGGTCAGCTTGCTCCTTTGCCTACCATTATTGCAATCGCAAAGTCGAATGGATCCGGCATTGTGTGGAGTTACAGCAGAATTATTACTAAATTGTCTACGAGATTGCCCTCCTTTGAGTCTTATGAAAGAGCCAACTGATTGTCTGAATGGTCTAGAGCATCTACTTAGTACATGGTTAGAGGATGCTGAGGAATTTGTAGATCAAATAGACTACCGGGATGACATACAACGAATGAACACTGCATCAGCACTGGTAGCATTAGCCTGTGCTAGGTAAGTTGCTGATATTCCTAATGATAATGGATATGTGATGACATATTTTGAATGATCAAAATATGTCCTGTTGTTTCGTATAATTGATAGGGGAAGTGGTCCTAATTATCGCACGATTGTCCTAAATAGCTAAAATATGCACCCACCATCTTTTAAACCAGTGTTACGAAAAACAGTTCAACACCATTACTCCGAATCTTCATGATTTATTCATATATTTAGAAATATCTCTTCATTTTTTAAGAATTGTTTACTTCCGCCATTGTCATAAATGCTTTTGCGCAAGAAGTGAAATTTGTCTGACAAATTTTGACCCCCTCCAAATAAAGACAGAAAAGTAAGTGTATAATGTATATTTTGTTGATATTTTACACTAAAACTGATAGAAAAATGATTACAGCATATGTATGTATCTGTTATAAACAGAGAAATGTATACAGTATCGTGAAATGACATCTGAAACATAACTGTGCGATAATTCATGTAATTAGGACGACTGTGCGATAATTAGGACCACCGCACATGCGAGTCTAAGGGGTCTTAAAGTGTTAGCGTTCGGAGATTGAGAAATGTCAAACACTACTTAGATTTTAGAGGAAAGGTTGATCTTTCGTCTCATATTCTCAAAGTAAGTTGAAGTTATCATATTTGAAATCGTCAGTAGTTTCCCTGAGTACCCGTGCGATGATAGGACGACTTCCCCTACTCCTTCATCACAAGTTATGATATGGTTGTAAAGTTAAACCTGCACGTTCTTTAGAAAGCAATCATGGGTTGTTACGAGGAACCTAGTGATAATATTAGCTATAATGGGGATATGCATTGATGAGCAAATATTGTGTTTTTTAAAATACTGAGGATTGCTTGTTCAATTGCTCAGATGTTTGCCAATAACCAGCCAAAATGTCCAGAAAACCAGAATGTCACATGATTATGACTACTAAATACATGGTGCGGTACCCAAACTGTGCATATACTATGGACGCAGTTTGAAACTCTGACAAACTGCGCGAATATTTAAAAATAGCAGACAGGGAGGACACGACTCCCATAAGGATGAAAACAACTGAAAATACGGTTAGTTTGTTTATCAGAGGATATTACCATTATGTGGAGACTAGCTTACTTTATAAGTTGTACTCAATTTTTTCCTGGTGATAACCTAGTTATCTCAATATAAGGTTCCTAATGAGCATTCATCATGTTAAAAATATACAGCGTTGCGTCATTATTTTTGTTTGTCGTAATTTGAAGTTTATTTAGCCCTTGTGTTTGCATATACTGAAAGATACAGGATTGCTGCATATATTTTACAACCTACGTTCATCGAGATATAACTTTTGCTATCACCATGGGCTTCTAGTTGAAAGTCCATGCTATCACATGGTAGAACCATATACATGTAATCGCCACCGAATGGACGTATGAAACTATAAAACAATGCAGAATAAATAAATGTCTAAACATGTCGTTTGAAAACACTTGTATGATGCAATGTTGAAATACGCGTAGTTTGTCAGTGTTTAGCCTTGCCCAAGTCGGTATTTTTTTACTAATCTGATCTTGAATTATTACCGCCTTGTACAATCCTATACATCTCCGCTGATATTATGCTAAGTTATTCAGTGGTTTCGAGATTTCCATAATACCTACGCTATCGGGGGTATCGCGAAACCTTATTGATTCACAGATCGCGTGGACACGACGTGTGACTTCAGGCTGATTGACCAATCAAAACGTTATCAGGTTGAGCTGCATTAACAAAGCAAACTTCCCGTCTACGACTTGAAATTCAATGATCTGATCGAGTGTTTCTTTAGAGTTGCAATATCTGAATATATTATTTAATTAAATGTACATTGGAATGTAAGAGTCATTAATATAAATCAAATCATGCGATTCAATGTTGATTTAAAACTGATTTCGCGATGAAAATGCAAGATGAAAATGTACCGAGTCATGCAGTCGTCAATCAGTGATTCAATCTTACATGTCGATCAGTTGAATTCAGCGATCGTTTCAACGTTTATCGTTGAAATCTTATCACCTCCGGTTATCCAATCGATGCTCCGGCATCCACTAAACTCTGATTGATATTTATCTGATAAAATATTTGTATTTTCATGATGAATTCGTGCAAGATTTGTTCGTGAAAAGTCCCGGTGAAAAGTGTACTTGTTTTTGACCATGCATAATAATGAGCTAACGCTACAGGGCCGTCGTTGATTGGTCAAATTTTACCGACATCAACAAACTGTCGGTAAAGCACGTGGCTTTCTCTTTGGTACAAGGCGGTCATAATAGAAATCAAAATAAGTAAAAAAGACCGACTTGGGCAAGGCTAGTCAGTGTTATAAACTGTGTGCATAGTATGCACGCAGTTTGGATACTGCGGGTTGAAATAAGAACTTAAAATAATTCACTGCACTGTTTCTAGACTACTGCAATTTGAGTTTCATTAAGTAACCTTTTTTTTCATTTGTTTACTATGGTTGTGCTTTGATATTATGCAGAAAAAATTAATTAGCCACTTCAGGCCCATAGTAGATTTGCCAAGGGGGGATTGCTTTTTCAAAAATTCCAGGGGGGTTCACTTTTGACAATTTTGGTCCAAAAAGGGCCAAAATCACCTCAAATGTGCTCAGAATGGTGAAAAACTGCATGATTTTGAAAGAGATTTTGGCCGTGGGGAGGGGGGGGGGGGGAAAGCCCACGCTCGAACCCCCTTGCTATGGGCCTGCACGTCAACTTTATATTAAGCATTTCTGGACATATTTTCATTTGCATACACGTTCTATCAGAAACATAAGGGTAATATGAAAATTGAAGCAATAAAACTGGAACTCTCGACTATATCTGCCATATAATCTGACCCGAATTAGCCACCTGATGGTGAAACTGGCGCATTTTTCTTCATAAATAAATTTGAGTGATCAAATATTTTTTTTATATTTTGACCTGTCAAATAATGGAGAATGGGTGATATGTGCTTTAATGTCTTTTTGCATATTATGTATTGATATTCAAGTAATGAAATCCAATTGATCTACATTAGTTCAACATACAGTCATGTGGTTTATAGTCATACATGTATCTTAAATTGTTTTATTATCCAAAATCATAACTGGCTAAATACACTTTAAATATATATTTAAAGTAATGCTTATATAATGAGGATAAGGCTTCAACCCTTTAACCTTAAAAACAGTTCATAAATATGCAGATGAGTTCTCATAAAAAAATTCAATTATTTCTCTTGAGATTAGCAGCATCTCCTATATAGTCATGATGATTGTTTTAAAACATTGTTTTTTGAAATATTATGGTCAGCTGGCGCAATTTTTGAAAAAATCCAGTACATTGTCTCAAAACGCTATAGATTCACCAAAAGCCCAAAAATCGTAGAAATGCCCAATGGTTACAAAAATTACTTTATTGACATTTTCAATGAGACCTTGTATGTTTCACTCTTTCAGGGGTCAACTCAAGATGTTCATCCACACAATTCAGCTCTTACAACAACTGAAGGATTTGGAGACTCTCCCTGTGGCAGACATCATGTTGAAGCTACTTATGACTGAAGGTATGTTGAGATATCATCTTAAGATCAGATTATACAAAAATAGTAGGTTATATTATGTTTTCTGTTTTTCTAAAAGTAATAGAAAGTAATATTTATACTTGTAAATGTATGGAAGTTTGACACATTCATTTTATGATAATATAAAATTGAGACAAATTGAAAAGTTAAAGAATGATACACCCGAGTTGTCTTGAAAATAACTGCCAGAAGGTAACCTTGTTAATCTCATAACATACTCTGTGTTTCTACATAATGCTCTGATTTAGCTTTTGTCAAGATTGTCTAGTTTCTCCTAAAGTATGATCTATATACTGCAGGGGGTCCAGGCCAGCCAATTTCACTACATGATGCTCTGATTTAGCTTTTGTCAAGATTGTCTAGTTTCCTCCTAAAGTATGATCTATATACTGCAGGGGGTCCAGGCCAGACAATTTCACTACATAATGCTCTGATGTAGCTTATTGTCAAGATTGTCTAGTCACTCCTATACCTAAGTGTGATCTATATTCTGCAGGGGGTCCAGGCCAGCCAACCTCATTGCTAGGGAGACAACACATAGTTTGCTGGGGATACAACTGCCTGTTATTAACACATGAGAAGACACAGACTGGGAGTAAAGATAAAGACCAATCTCAAGGTTGGTGTATTTTGTTAGTTTGTATATTTGTTTCACATACACTTACTGTGGAAAATTCTGTCTAATATATAACATATATATATATAGCATAGCTAACATTAAGGTAATTCTTCACTTTCAGAAAAATTTCAGAAAACAAGAACCAGTGTGAATTATGTTACACAGCTTGGAACAGAATCAATCTGTCATTGTCCATAAATGTGCTTCAAAATGACTTATAATACTCTAATACGCAATAAAGTTTAGCTTAGTTCAGTTTAGTTACCTCCCGTTTGAAGAGCTCTCATGTAGGGTAAAACTTTATCTACATCCGGGTTCTTAATCCCATTTGATTACACAGGGGTGCGATTTTCAATGCTGCACTGCAGCTTTGTAGTGTTGCATTTGCACATACAATAGATATGTATGTAATTATGATATACAACAAAGCTTTTTAACTATAATCCCAAAATCCAAAGAAATCTGAAATTGAAAATGCCATCCAATTCCAGTGACGTCACTGATTTCCCAGAAATTTCTCAGACGCCATTGAAGATAAAAAAAAAAAAATGAATAATGTAACTTTGAATCTCCGATTATCTTTCTGATTATTGAATAGATGGGATCATATAACTATGCTTGAGGGCTGATGGAAGGTTTGAAGCTGAGAAACTGTCATTTTGTCAAGATTCACGCTAGTTTTATCAGAATTTGTTGAAATTTTGTTTGAGTAATTGTCCGCCATTTTGATGCTATACATAGGCCTACACTATGATGTAATCATCGACCAATGACTTTGCAATCTCCGGACGTTTCGTTCAGAGTAATCGATTTGTTTGGCAGGCCAATGAAAATTTGTCCCTTCCGAAGCGATGCATCATTGAAGATATTCATGTAAATTACCACCTGAACTCTTATCGTGAATTGGAGTATAACTCAATGATCAAGTGTATATCATAAAATGTTAATGCAATACATTTTAAAATGTTCATTACATACATTTTACTGTAAGCTTGAAAATATTTTGAAGAACCCCATTTCCCCATGTAAATGTATAAAAGAGTAAGGGAGTAAGGTATTGCGAGGATGTACCTCCAGAACTGAATGACTGGATTTTTCATTTTCATGTCACCACCACAAGTGGTGTCAGGAAGTGGTGACATATTGTTATGGTCTCCAACTTTTTTGCGTCTGGTGGTTGGTTGGTGTTCTGAGTTTTGGCATCTTTAACAATTTGCAATAGCTAATACAAATTGATGACATTTTGTCATGTTAATGCCTTGTTGTTGTCTTATCTTTGTTTTATTGTGTAGGCCCTGAAGGACGTAGAAGCCTGGCTTGTGATGGCAAGTTCTTATATATGACTGATCCTCATGGGAAAGGTATTGCTAAAGTGGGAACAGGACTGCATGGAACACTGAGGTATTTATATCTAAATAAAAAATACATTTTATTCTCTTGCTCATCAAAAAGAATTTGAAACTATGAACATTTTTTATAAAATGCTTTCAGAAAAAAATTAACGATTTTACCTCATGTAACCATGCATGATGCAAGTGAGGCAATTCATATTATTTAAGTCCCCGTCTAAAGTTTGAAAATATTTTTTTATCATTCATTTACTATTTATCATGACTTAAAAAGTTATTTTAGAGATTTTTGGAGAAAAAAAATTGTTGAAAAAAAAGTTGTGAGCATTTCATTTCTCAAATATTCAAATTTTTTAATCATCAAATATTTCTTAATGCATTTCAAAAAAGATTATCTTTTTAACACCAATGCAAAGATTAAATAAAGGACACCCTATTTCAATAATAAAATGCCATATTTAAAGGGCCACTTCCATGTTTTAGCATATCAAAAATATTTTGCAACATTAGTGATGTCACTAAGGTAGCAAAAACTTTTTGAAAAAAATGTGAAATTTTTTTTTCGATGTCAATCTTTTCCAAATATGGTAGACTTCAATAATAAACCAATTCTAATTGTCTAACCAGGTTAAAAGGAAGAATATATTATGTTTTAGATATCACTGTACCATTGGTTTCTATGAGAACTAACCCCCCTATCACACCAAACTAGTTCTTACCCGTTCTTGCCAGTCCTACGAAAATGTCGTAAAACGGGTTCAATCTGGCTGTGGTCGGGAAATATGTCTGAAATAATTAGCTTCTTCGTTCTTAAACAGTCTTCAATACGTCCATCTCGTTCGCAGTTCGTCCAGGTCGCACCACGTCGGTGTGCAACGTAGTAGAACGCGTCCCTTAGTCTAGAAGGTCAACATGACCTGATTACCGAATGGTATGGTCGCCATCGAATTTTGAATCGATTCAAAATTCTAGAATCACATTCCCGTCTGAGAACGTTCATAAAGTTCGTAAATAGACCTTAGAAAGTTGCAGCTACGTTCATTCCGTTCGCACACAGTTTAAAACCAGTTTTGAAGAACGCAGTGGCAACTTGTTTGGTGTGATAGCTATATTTTTGCTAACTCGTTCATAAGCAGTGTTAAATACGTTTTTAATCAGTTTAAACCCGTTTGCAATTAGTTCTACCTCGTTCTCAACACGTCCTTAGACAGTTCAACTCGTTGTTAAAACGTCCGTAGTAGGATTGAAGTACGACGGTTCCGTTCGTAGTACGTCCAGCTTGTCGTTAGTACGTTGTCACTCGTTCTAATTGTAAAACGTGACGACCACGAGAATATTTTGAGCATTGTCTAAGTTCTAGAGGACCTACCCGTCCGAGTACGTTCGATGAAGTTTGTAAATAGATCCCAAACGGTTCTTAGTAGGTCCAGTCCGTTCGTACACAGTTGAAGCCCGTTTTCGAGAACGTAGTGAGAACTAGTTTGGTGTGATAGTAGGGTAAAATTTTGAAATGCATTTTTCTAGGAACCATTTTCATGCACTGATGAGTTCATTTCTCGCTTATTTATGAACCGATTTTCTTAATTTTTTCGGCAAAAAACATGGGAGGACGAATGTTATGCATTAGTATGTGGCTAATTAGAAGATATGAGTGACCTCTAAAAGTTAGTTTTAATTAAATTCACAAATTTTGGAACAAAAAATCTATCAAAAACCACTTTTTGGAATTTAAAAAATAAGTTTCACATATCACACTTCGATAACATTGGGTAAGACTACAATATAAGCCAAAGTGGTTTAAACTTTAGATGGGGACTTTAAGCGTTTTTATAAAAGAAACTGTGAAAATTATCTCATATGATACTATTTAATGGCCTTTAAGCTTAAAATTGCCTCGTCCATTTCATTTGCCTCACCATTAGTTTCTAAATATGCCTTTATATTATTTTCCATTCAAGAGACTGATTTCAAGAATCTTGATGTAATGTTGATATTACCACCCTTAAATTTGTATTTCAGGGGATATGTCTATGCATGTAATACAGATATTGGTCCAGGTGTTTTGGCATATGGTTCTGAAAACTTGATCTATAGACCTCTGAGCTTCGATTCTGAATCAGAATCTTCAAACTTCTTCCAACTGATTGACAGTTCTACATTGCAGGTATTATACTGTGACAAGAAAATATACATTTTAGATCCTCCTATTTATAAAAGATACAAGGAGGATTGGCTCCCAGAATGCAATCACGATATTTTCCAATAATGAATCCAATCTAAAGGATGTCATGATTTTCACTTCAATTTTCGAATCATGAGTTTTGGTCTATATTACATAACAAAAAATTCAGAACACAAGATCAACGTATAAGCTCGAAACTAGACGGAATTAACAACAATATGCAAAAATATAAGGTAGTTGTAAAATGACAAAAATATCAAAAATATTGGTTCATGTATTAGTCACAAATGTTCAAGATTTACCAATCTCTATTGAATTCTCACCATTAGCATTAAAAAGGATAATATTTTTATCATTTGGTGCACATAAACCTGAAATGGGTATTTAGTTCTTATTAAGTATAACTATTGTTTAATGCCCGTTTCCATGGTAACGTCACCTGTTTTCAAAGTAGGTATCTATCACATATCACAGGTCAATATCTCAGCTTTCCAACGATACCAAAATATCCCATAGGGTCAGCCGACTATTAAACTCCTTTATTTAAGGACTTCTGAGGCTTGGCCTACTCGCCTATATGATGTATCATACTGTTCCCTTTATTTCAGTTGATCAAGACAATCCCCTTGCCTGACCAATACACAAATATCTCCACGCCAACGATTACAATAGCACTATGTGGAGATGGAGCATACTTCTACTGGATATGGACCAGTGTACAGAATGACAAAACAAAATCACAAGATATCTACTTAGACACTTTTCAGTTCAATGTAAGTAACATGAATTTTGGAAGTTCCTTTGGCTTTTCATTATGTCACAACCAGTAGTGGTAACATATTGTTATAGTCACCAACTTTTTTGTGGATGGTGTTCAACACGACATTTGATGGTTGGTTCTCAGTATTCAGCGGTTGGTGTTCTGCAGTCGGTGATTGGTGTCTGTAACAAATGGCAGGTTTGCACATTTATGCCTTGTTATCCCATCGAACGAAGTTCGGAGGGATATAGGGAACGCCTCCGTCTGTCTGTCCGTCCGTCTGTCTGTCTGTCCGTGCAATAACTCAAATACTTTGGCCCGATTTTGTTCATACTTTGTACACATATACCAAATGGGGGTAGAAGTTCTGCTCAAAAACTGATTTTCAAAATGGCCGCTCATTTAAAAAATGGCGGCCATTTTAGTGCCGATTTTACAGTAAGTTAGGTACTGCATATAAAACAGTAATAGCAATATGTTTTGAATGTAAAAAAGTTATATAGGACATTGATTAAGCTAGAAATGTAAATATAGAAGAAATACATGGCTGCCTTTGCATGTCATTTTACGATTTTTGCTGTAACTTGAAAAGCAGTTGAGCGATTTTGTTCATATTTGGTATGTGAATACTTTAATAATAATAATAATACTGGCACACTGTCTAATGACACTTTTGGGTAATAGGCGGCCTACCCATCTCCCCCCCCCTTTTCCCTCCCCCCTTTCCCTCTCCCTTTTCCCTCCCCCTTTCCCTCCCCTTTCCCTCCCCTTAATTTTTCACTATTGCAAGTTAGAATGATTCAGATTCAGATTGATGTCATTGATATGTTACAAATTGTGTATTTAGACTTTGCTGCAAGAGAATTCATGGCTGATTATGTGCCTTTATTATCCCATCAAAAAGTAAAAGAGTGATTTTGTTCATATTTGATATGTGAATATTATATCTAGTAAGGATTGCATACTGTCTCGTGACATTTTGAGTAGTAAGCGGCCATTTTAAAAAATAGCCAGCATTGGCGATTTTTTAAGATTTTTTAAGAATTTTATATGTGGGTTCTTAAAAGCATACCTCTTCTGATGACAACTTGGCTAGATCAACCATTTTGAAAATGGTGGCCTTCCTTATGGGTGTTATTTTATGATATTTGCTATATTTCGTATGTAAAAATGCCAGCCATTCGATGGGATTCCCTACGCTTTGGCGTTGCCGTTGTTCTGGTTGTACATGTATGTATATTCCAGGCAGTTTATCAATGGCCATTGCGCGTGCTACTGGCAATTTGATTGGTCCATTTGCAAAATTAAGAAACATTCACACATATAACATACACCAAATTTTTAAAATTTTGGGCAATGTCTGACCTGTGTAGTTTCATTTTCCTAAAATAGCAAGACTGATTGGAAATATTGGCTGGAAGCATGAAATTGATAAATGTATGATTATTTGGCAGGATGATGAGTCTTGTGTAACAGCACTTTCAGAGACAGTTGTGTTGCAAAAGAAGGATGACTCCAACACTAAGGCCATCAATGACACCTTGTTGTCAAGGCTACGACCTTATAGTCGTGCTGCGTCTGCTGCCACTTTGGTAGCTTTAACTGGAGACCCCCCTCCCAGTGCTGCTCTACCCAGGAAGGAAGAGGCCTCAGGTAAGCTTCACTTGAAAACATGTACAACATAATTCTGCTGTCATGGCAACACTACTTTGTTGTATAATAGTTATCACAAATAGATGTTTGAAGAAAAAGTTGCCTTAATTCAGTATTCATTGAGGAGTTTTCCTGCTAACATATTTCTTAAGGAGGTTAAGCTCTATAATACCAAAACCTAAAATGTCTATCCAAAAAGACCTGTAAGGACATGTTTTCAATTAAATGAATGTATCTGTCTGCAATATGCCTGTAACAAGAAATCCAAATATGTGTAAATCCAATATAATTTAAGGACAGCATATATAAAACGACATATGATTAGAATTGTAGGCAGTATGTTAAGTAGTCCACACATGTTTAATTTCAGTGCCTTCAAGTTGTGGCTTTACAGTGAAGACCCTTCAGAAGACACCAATATATTGTGATGGCACAACAGTTGTCATGTTGTCATCGTCAACAGGAAGTAGCAGTGCCAACTCTGCAGCAAGGTCATTGTTTGGGGGAGGGGGTTCTCTAGCAGGACTCAGATGTAAGAAAACTTCCAAGTATTTCATTCATCCTCCTAAGCAGGTATCCAGAATCCGTACCTCCTTCTTCCCTATAACCAATTTGGAAGCGCCCAATTAAACTGAATCACGTGATCTTATTATGCGCAATGACTTATACATGATTTCTGTCGCAGTATTGCGACAGCCAATCAGATTGCGAGTTCTTAATCAGGGAAAGGCTAACTGCTTATCGCAGGGGGTAAAAAGAAAGAATATATTCTGGATTTTGAAGCCCTGTGATCGGAGGATGATTTCATTAAGAACAGGAGTAATGATAGTATGCCAAGGGCCTTTGTGTTTTTGAGTGGTCTACTAGTGATTTTCAGTTTCTGAATTGTTTTTGAAATGTATATTCTTGAAGTCTGCAAATAAGAATGTTACATGAGTTTAGTGCACTCTTGGAAATACATGTACAAATGTTAATATGTGCAGAAAATTAATATTTATGAATATGAAACTTAAGACACAGAAAATTTGAAAAATGGAAAGAAAGTGAACTTCTTAGGCCACCCATGATCTGCCATGTTTTATTTATTACCATCATGAAGTTTAATATTGTGTCCTCCATCAGTACATGTATAGTTTTATATCTATATGTTTTCAACATGTATTTTCAGGTCTAGCTACAAACACATGTTTCAGTGTGAATGATGGTCAGTTTCAGTCTCGCATAGATCTGGTTGATGCCCCTACCTCATCTCTGGCCAGAGATGCAGCGTTACAAACACTAGGTACATTTAATGGACATATTTGGGGGAGTGTCTGACCATAGCCAGGATTTGCCATGGGGGTGTTCAGTTTTCAAAAATTTTCAGGGGGGGTTCACATTTGACAATTTGACTAAAATCACTCGAGAAGTGCTCAAAATGGTGAAACACTGCATGATTTTGAAAGATCTTTTGGCCAGGGGGTGGGGGGTCGCCCCGCTAGAATTGTCTTTTAGGAATACATTATCAATACAAAACTCATATCAGTACAAAACAACATGAAAGATTTCATGAATATTTGAAACAATGTTTTTAAGAGAACTTGTACAAGGGGTGATCCAAAAGTAAGGTGACTGTATCAATCTGTGCATGAACATGTAATATTATGACAACATTTAATAGAAATATTTTGATTTGAGACCTTAATGTACATGTTTAATATCAATTCATCCAAATTTCCACATAAAGAAATGTGAAAAATATTACCTATTTCCTCAAAAATTTGTAATTATAATCGTGAAAATTACACATAGAATTCTCATTATGCGGTACCATCTTCATGATTTCCAGGTGTATGCTTTGATGTGAAGAACAACATGATCTGGACTTGCACAAATGATTGGGTCGACCAGTACCTTAATCCAGGACATCTGGCTAGTCACCACATGTTGCATAGACTTGGCCTTGAGACCAATAGACAGATACCCGACTTTCCAAGTAAGTTACAAAAAGAGGGTGCACAAAATGTATTATATTGTGTCTAACTCCTCAAAAATATGTTCTCCTTAATTATACTGATAAACGATATAGGGTGTGTCATGGCTAAATGACTGTATCAGGTTGCTATAAAAACATCACTGTATTGTAGTTTTGTATCAGTTCTTGCATTGGTCAGTTTCACTTTGGTTTGAAACATTATAATGATTTAATTATTTCTATGGTAACTTGGTAAGTAAGATGTAAGCAACTTCTTTATATTACGGTCCAGAAATGAACCATTGGGATGAGAGCTTTTCGTTGCATTCCTGTTTTTGTTATAGTCTCCAACTTTTTTGTGGATGATGTTTGCCGGTTTGTGTTTTGCAGTTGGCATTCAGCATCAGTAACAAATGACATTTTGCATGTTAATGCCTTGTCTTTATTTTTGCAGACAATTTTATGGAGACTAAACAAGTGATTGATTACCTACTTGAACATGTGTCAAGTATGTGCATTCACCAGAACAACAGTTCCCTTCTCCATAGCCCACTTGGATGTTACATTCTGCAGCAGCAACCAGCAGACCTCATCCATATAGAGCGTGTTTGTGCAATATTAGACAAGGCCTTTCATACAAGAGACGAACATATCATACGCTGCTGCCTAATCGTTTTGCAGGTACAGTAAAACCTCTCTATCTGAATGCCACTGGGAACCAACCAAGTGTTAAGAATAGCAAATGTTCACATTTCAAGGTTTCTCCAAGGGAGCTCAATGGGAAATTACAAAATTGAGTTGAACCCTTACCCATACATATATATGAATTTTATCCATTTCAGCTTGTGTTCAGAATGTCAGTGTTCAAAACAGACCAAGATAAAGACAAAAAACTGCTCTGCAAGACAAAGTAAGATTTATTGTAGTCATTTGTTCAAATAAAAAAGGATATCATACAGTATATACCAACTTATTTTGAACTATTATTACAGTAGTTCACTCATTTCTCATTTGATTAAAGTTCTGGATGTGGCAATTTTTATAGTATAATATATTTTCATTTACATAAACATTGTAACTTAAAGACACATAAAAAACAAGGTATAAATTGATGTTCTTCTAGGAGACTTTTATGGCAAATTATGGACATGTACAGATTGGATGAAACAGTCCATGATATCCAAAGAGAGGCTTGCCTTGTAGTGAGTACTGGACTCACTGTGCTCTACCATACACCAGAGGACCAGGATAAACTACTTCATAGTATATTAACAGAAGGTATTACTCATGACATGACACTATTACAATGAGCCAAAAATGATGTTTTAGTAGCAATATAACAACAAAGGAAGCAATTCTAAGTTTTTTAAGACTGGGTATCGATGTATACAGCAAAGTAAGTCTGTACATAATTGATCAGTATTCACTCTTTCTGATCGACGATACCTGATAATTTTCATGTTCTACAGTATTTCATGCTTTTTGTGAGTTTTGGAAAATTCAATTTAAGTGAGTACAGTATCTCTGTCAAAATCCTCAATTCTGTCAAGATATTTTGAGCATTATTTTAGAAAATATAAGGATAAATTTTATGAATGCAATTTTTTTTATAGGTGCCAAGGTTCCCGGCATGGTGTTCCTGCGCGATCTCCTCCTCGTTGGATTTGTGGACCAGTTACAAAACAGCTATGACAAATATGACCAATCATCAAGCTTCATTTTAAAGGAGGACATTCTGAACTATATTTTGAAAATTGTTGTTCAAGAATCCTGTGTGTTATTAAGGGAATGCAAAACTAAATCAAAGGCAAACTTTGATCACCTTCAGATGTCCGTACCCGTGAGTATAAAACAATAAAATCTGAAAAAAAACAAATCATGTTAATAGAACTACGTAGTCCAACTCCTCAGTGAATTGCATGACAATGCAATTTGAATAATAAAAATAATTGTCATGCTTTATTGATACTATTGTCAATAAAAAACTTAATTAGCTCATTGGCTATGGACATTCTGAATGTGTCCAGACATATTTTACCTTTTTAGACATTATTAATATGTCAAGTCAACTGTTTTTGAGAATGTAGTGGCAAATTTGATTTTTAAATCAAGACAGGGTTTCTAGAGATCTGACTCTCATTTTTTCAAATTACCGGTATGTATCCTACATTTCTTTTTTATTTTACTGATACTTTTTTCAGGAAGCATCCCCTTGCTTGCGATACCTAATGGCACTCCAGTCCTACTTGTTGAGATTAGCAGTTCTACATGTACATAACACTGAAGGAGGGAAAGTCAAAAGGATAACACAACCATTGAAGGAACTTCAGGAAGCACTGCTATCATTGGCCTCGAAAATATTTGCTGGTTAGTTCCTGAAGGAATTTATTAATTAAAAATTTTATGTTTATTGTGTACAGGTTAATGATGCTTGGTGTTCAGTAGAATTTGTCACACATTATCATATACGAGGGGTGATCCAAAAGTCTTGGACGCCCTGCTCTAATTTTGTTGGTTTTTGATAAAATTACTTTAAACTTTCCAATAATAAAGACCAACAATCAAACTACTTTGTGTGTTAATTTCATGGAGAAATTATATATTTGATGTAGTTTTCTAGATAGTTTTTAATGTAGGGACCCTGCCACCCGGAACGGTATACGCACATGACAACTTTCAGCCTTAAATGTTCCCGCCATTTCACTTGTTTCACAAGTCTTGACCACTATCTTTCTTTGAATTTTGAATGTTAAACCATGTTAGTTTACTTCCTTTGTTATTAGGCAATCAATTAATTGTGTTTTGAATATCATGGCATATATGACAATGGCTGTATATGTCAAATTCTAAGAAAATGACATCAGACAAGCAACCCTCATTCTGGTATCATTTTTGCTCCAAGATGGCTGCTGAAATGGAGAACATGAAAGAAATCAAAGTGGAACAAAGTATACTACAAGATATTCTCACTTTTATTGACCTTGAGCAGCTACCATATGCACGATATAGTCTAGATATGGCTCTGTGCGATTTTCTTCCATTTCTGAAGTTGAAAGAAAATATTTTTACTCATTGGATGAGGTTTAGACTGGCACTCCAGCACCATTTGTATCACATAAGCAATGGCGGTTTCATAAATGTCTTTCATTCATTGGTAAAGTGGTATGAAAAATGTGTTCAAATTCGTGGAAAATATGTTGAAAAGTAGGTCTTAATACGTGAAAATGATGATGGTAGATGACACTCAGATTGAAAATCGGAAATTCTCTCATATCATGAATGGTGTTAGGTTATGCACCTGCACCTAAAGTATTTGCCATATTATAACAGTTGTGACGTGATTTACTATATTCAAATACCGTTCCGGGTGGCTGCGACCCGGTATTAAAAACTATTTAGAAAAGTAGCTAAAATATATTATTTTCTGTTGAAACTTATACACAAAGTTGTTAAGATGTTGATCTTTATTATCTGAAAGTTTCATGTAATTATATTAGAAAGTAGCAAAGTTAGAGCGTGGCGTCCAAGACTTTTGGATCACCCCTCGTACATAGGTCATTGCTATTGACCTAAGGACCTTGTAAAAGTAATTTGTCCTCTCTTGAGCAATTGCCCCCTATTGAAAACTGATTGAAAATTAGTGTCCTATTGTAGATTTAATGACCTCAATCTCTCCTAGTAAGACTCCTGTTGACCCCAGGCCTTTTAACCTGCACCTTTTCCATTAAGCCAATTAACTCTTATCCCTGTAACCTAATGACCTCAGAGCCCTCTAGTGATGTACATGTTTACATCAGCATCTTCTCTTAAACCTACTGATTAAAGTCATTCTATTGGACCTAGTATTAAACACATATCAGTACCATTGAACTGAGTGTCTTCTACTAAGCCTATCAGTGATCTCCCCAGCATTAAAGCAAGTGGGTGCAGCACCTATCTGAAATTTTGAAAGCAGACTTGCACCCACCTGAAAATCCATTTGCATCCACTTGAAAATGAGAAATGGGCATGTTTTGACCAATTTGAATTAAAATTTTTGAATTGTGAAAATGTGATTTTGGCAATGACTTGAGAAAAAATCCTGTGGAGAACACTGCCTATTGACCCAAGTCCCACCTATTTAAATGTACCTCAGAAGAACAGTACATGTAATAGTATTATGGTCATTTCCATTGTTTCTAGGTTGCTACGAAGTGTTAGAAGTGTTGCTAGAAACCTGTAATACAATAATAAATGAAATGAAAGAGGAATCTGAATGCAGACTACAGGGCTTAGAAAGGGTTGCCAAGGCAACTATTGTCGGCCATCTTCTACCTGTCCTACTCACTGTCATGACACACCACAACTTGAAATTCTTGCCAATTGCTGATAAGCTTATGCCAGAACTGGTACAGCTTGTTGTTCTCACAAGCCAGGTGAGTAAACAATACTAAACAGAGGGAGCTCTTTCAGTATTTTCTTTTGCTATAATGTTAAGGTGACAAAAGCATTATGGAAGATCTCAATCTTAGCATGACATTTCCTCCACTAGTAAATTATTTCTTATTACCTAATTACAGACCCATCAGTTGATTGAAATTCCAAATTTTATCCTCATATTTAAGTTGATATAGGGAGCTTTTTCTTGATCTCTTCTGCTTTATGAAAAGGCAACAGAAACCTTATAGAAGATCTCAATCTAAGCATGACATTTCCTCATGTGGCAATTCACAACTTTACATTTTTATAGACTCATGTACGTGTAAATCACGTGATGGAAATTTTAACTTCATATTGTTCATTATCCCACCGAACGAAGTTTGAGGGGGATATAGAGAAGCCGTCCGTCTGTCCGTCCATCCGTGTGTCCGGGCGATAACTCCAATACCGGTGGACAGATTTGGTTCAAATTTTAAAGGCTTATGCCTTATGAGTGTAGTACCTCTGCTCGAGAAGGAATTTTCAATATGGCCTCTCAATTCAAAATGGCCGCCATTTTTCGTAAAAAAAGAAATCGTTGATAACTCAAATACAAGTTCACAGATTTGGTTCAAATTTTATATGCTGATGCCTAGGGACAAAGGAGTGTTGCACAAGAAGGGATTTTCAAATTGGCCGCTTAATTTCAAAATGGCGGCCATTTTTCGTAAAAATATGTAGTCTTTGATAACTCAAATACCAGTGAACGGATTTGGTTCAAATTTTATATGATGATGCTTAGGGACACAGTAGCTATGTTCGACAAATTTTTTTTAAGATGGCCGCTTAATTTCAAAGTGGCGGCAATTTTTCGTAAAAAACATAATCTTTGATAACTCAAATACCAGTGAACAGATTTGATTGAAATTTCATATGATTATGCCTAGGGACACAGTAGCTCTGTTCAAGCAATAATTTTCAAGATGGCGGCTGAATTTTAAGATGGCGGCCAATTTTCGTAAAAAACGTAATCTTTGATAACTCATATACCAGTGAACAGATTTGGTTCAAATTTTATATGATGATGCCTACATGTAGTTCACAATGGTTAACTTTGTGCCAAATTTCTACTCTGTGGAGTTGCTGTTTTTCTAGTTATTTTTATTTTATGTAAAAATGCTACTCATCATTTAAATGAAATTCTTTAATATGATCATCTAATGGGACTCAAACACAATGTTGTGAAATGGAATGATTAAGTCTCCAGATTTTTACATCATATATGACTCTTGATATTAAACATTCTTCAAAGTGGCATGCATCATCCTTCACCATCCAATCAATAACATAATGGCTGATGTGAATTTTATCCCCTTATGGATATCAGGTTTACTGAAAATCTGCCAAAATACGAGTATAATCTTTTTCCACTGTTTCCAAAAATACATTTTTTTTAATTTTGACATGATATCCTATGCATATCTAAGTAACTATTGAGTACTATGATAACTATTAAATGGAATTGCAGGCTGCCCTATTACTGAAGAGCCAGGTACATGCAGTCCATGATAGTAGTCAAGATATAGCAGACCTAGGTGGCATAATAGGAGAAACACTTGATATTGAAAAGTAAGATCATTAATTTAATGAAAAGCTCATTTCAACACATAACACAGAATTTGACCAGTGTGTTTTACTTTTAAATTACTGATTACCATTTGATCAGTTCAATGGCAATTTTCACTGATTGTTTTTTGTCTATAAAATTTAGGTCTGATACGGTTTTTGTAAATTTATTCTTCATATTTTATGTCATCACCAGAAGTGGGACATATTGTTATACTCTCCATAATATAGTCTCTATAATCTTGGTGGTTGGTGTTCGGTGGTCAGCATCTGTAACAAATAGCAGGTTGTGACATTTTGAATGTTAATTCCATGTTTAATTCTATATCACGTACAATGTTACTGTGTAACAAATGTTTTCTATTATAACCCATCATTTGTATAATTGTAGCATTGAGGTAGAAGGGGAAGAAGAACAAGGTTTTCTCACTGGCCTTAATATTCCTGCACCCTGGTCAACTGGTAGAACTATTGAGACAATCCACCCAGTCCGTGATAACTACAAGCTGAAGGAGACAGTCCACATTCCTGGGGCGAGATTTCTTTATATGAGGTTTGACCCCAGAAGTTCTTCACAGTATGATTATGATAAGGTAAGTATTTCAATTGGCCATCACAGGAGGAATGTAGTGCCTAACACATAAGTTAAACAGGAAATATTTTCTCATATCTGTTTGTATACATACCATTTTAACTTCCTCTATTTTGATTTTTTTGTACAGAGAAAAGTTTTAAAATTGCAACATAGATATTCTCAAACATATCCAAAATGAGAAAAGAAATGGATTCAATTATATGATCATGAAGCCTAATTTCAACAGTTGTCAGTATTCTATATATATTTATTCTTTAAGTACATTCACACCCCTTGGGGTCAAGTACATGTACAAAAATCATAACAATTATAAAGGAAGGAAAAAAAGACATTTATAGATTTACATGTAAAAAACTACTTAACTATTAATATTATTATATTGAATGTAACCTTTATTTCAGCTTATAGTATATGCTGGGCCAAACACAAGTGGTCGCAAGGTGGCAGAATATGGTGGCAACACATTTGGTTATGGCAGTAGAAGTGTATTAGGGGGAGGATGGCCCAAAGACCTAGTCAAGGTAGGAACATTTAGTCATTTCATTATTTTGTAATTTCACCACCAGAAGTAACATTGTTATGGTCTCCAACTTTTTGTGGATGGCTATCAGTGTCCAGAGTTCAGGAGTTGTGTTTGTGGGTCAGTTTGCGGCATCAGGAACAAATGGCAGGTTGTGATATTTTGCATGTTAATTGCTGCCTTGTATTTTACATGTTTCTAATATTGAAATTGTAGACCTCGCTCCCTATTCACCTTTCCACAAAGTAAAGAAAATCGATAATTTTCGGCGCGCTGATTGGTTGTATGTAAATGGGTCAAATCAATGACGTCAATGGTAGAAAGTTTTAAAGAATTAGTACAGCCAGCATAGGAATATTTTGAATAAACTACAATAAAAAGGATTCTATTTGCCAAATGCACAAATTATTTTTAATCAAATATGAAATATGGACGGGGCACTTTGATTCCGAACCTTATGTAATTTAAATTAATCATTTTTTGACAGAACTATTGTTTATTAAGACTTCTGAGATCAGCTTCACATACCCGGGCTCACATATCTCGTGCGATTGTAAACAAAAAATGTAAATTGTGAAGTTACAAACAACTCGGTTTAATTATCTGATAGTGGTCATACAATATTCTGTTAAATGGTTATATGTCGTAGTAAGAAGTTCCATCAGAAATTCACCATGAGTGACATTCGCGCAAACGAAACCAATCGAATTGAAACACTTTTTTGTTTGACTTTGTTATTGAGGATCGATCCCGTCTCCATAATACACAATATTTTCAAAAGCATGCATGAATATGTTACGGTTACTAAAACCATGGGCTTTCAAGATCATGAAAGACCATGACTAAACTAACTTTCTTTTCATTGGAACTTTTTCCAGTTGCAATTTCAGTAAAACGTACAACGGGTTTCTCGCTAAACGCAACTGGGCCTAATTAAAAAACCTTCATTTCATCCTCCAAACTTGGAGAACGCCCATTGGCTATTAAAAAGATAACTTCGAAGCCAAATTTTCTATCCAAGAAGCTAGACTTAAACCATTGCTTTATTATTTACCAAATGAAATTTGTTCATAGTACATATACGATATCGTTACCTTTTGGTATTAATTCGCCATCAGCGATGTCAATAACGATCAGCAATGTCAACGCTTATGATAATTTCACCTGTTCACATGCAGTTCCCATTATGATTGAAAAATGACCGGGAGTAATTCTCTTCAATTTATTCACTCATTATGAACAGAAATTTAATATTTAAATCGCTTAGAAGGCGTAAATAAATGTCATTTTGACGTTCAATAAAAAATCCGTCAATAATTTACTGATAATTTGCACATTTGAAGAGGTAAAACTTACAGCATTAAACCGAGGATTTACATGTAAACTCAATTGCATTTGTTTTTCACGGGAAAAAGTTTCTCCCATTGACGTCACAGATTTTTAAGCGGCTCATTATAATATTCATGAGCTGACTTTATGGAAAGGTGAATACTACCATTGTGTCACAATGCTTCTGCCATTCATGGTTTAGTGTATAAAGTTTCATAATTTATTTTGGTTTACAGCACTGTTCCATGACAACCAAAATTCAAGTGATTCAACAGTTATTTATTCACCTGTTAGTGTATCCTATCGAACGAAGGTAGCTTTGAAAAGTAATCATGGTCATATATATATTACCATTTAAAATCACTTGCCATATCCTGCATGTCTCTTAAAATATGTTATTATCCAAAACAGATTGATGGAGATACGGTGACACTCTCATTTGAAATGCGAAGTGGGCGTGAACACAACACACCAGATAAGGCAATGTGGGGGTTTTTGGTAACAGTAAGGGCACAAGAGGCTACAGAAGAAGTGACCAATGGACTGCCATTCTTAGCTGATCTTGCCTTGGGTCTCTCAGTACTGGCCTGTAGCATGTTAAACCTCCTCTACCAGGGACCTGAGAAAACAACTGATGAGATGTCATGTGAAACACTGTTGAAATCAAAACTTCTACAGAGGTATGGATTCAATGGATTCAAGTTGGTTAATTATATGAACTGTCATCCTCCGATCACAGGGCTTCAAAATCCAGAATATATTCTTTCTTTTTACCCCCTGCGATAAGCAGTTAGCATTTCCCCGATTAAAGAACTCGCAATCTGATTGGCTGTCGCAACACTGCGACAGAAATCTTGTATAAGTCATTGCGCATAATAAGATCACATGATTCAGTTTAATCGGGCGCTTCCAAATTGGTTATAGCAGGGGGGAAGAAGGAGGTACGGATTCTGGATACCTGCTTAGGAGGATGATGAACTTTCGGATGGCCTACCTAGTTGTTGAAATAGTATTGCCCTCTAGAAATAGTACATGAGTATTTAAGATATAACTTTGAGATAACACACATGTGTTGTTTGTTGGTTACAATTAAACAAGTGATTATATATTGTGTTGTGAAAGGATAAAGAGTTTTTTGTAACAAATTATTTCTGTTGAGTCTTTTTTCCAACCAAACCATTGAATGGATTCATTTTTAAACCGGGACGTTTCTTTTGAAAATCTAGAAATGCTACCTTGTTGACATATTGAATGGAATTAATGAATTAAATGCCTTTGTTTTTGTAGATGTATCTGGCAAAGGGAGACCGGCACACCATTCCCAATTCAAACGACAGGTCCAGTAGATATACCTATTGATGAAGAGTCTGAGTTGAATTTACCAAATATGGCATCAGATTTAGCAAGAATCAAACTGCCTGCTGAAATCATTGTGAAGCTTAGAAGTCTATCAGGTCGCCAAAATCCAACACTGAGACCAAGTATTAGGTAAGTGATGCTGTTTGTCTCATTGGGGCTTCCTTGATGCTTGTTTTTAATTTTTGATTCATACCTAATTTCAACTCCTGTGTTTGTTAACTTTATACCATCAGTTGACTTGTGTGAGTTGACACTTTAGTTAAAACATCTAACACGCACATCTGCATGCACCATCTGCATGTACCATGCACCGTGGACCTGCATATATGCTGTGAAATGTTTTTGATGACATTCTTATTTTACATGAACTTTGAATATACCTGCAAAAGCATCACGTTTATATTCATTTCATGAGTATAAATACATAGGATTATCAATAATTTTTGGAATTTACCCTCTCCATCTTAGAAAGTATCTGGAGTCAAAAAACTCTGCAGAAATATCTGTCTTAAACTACAAAAGAATATCTGAAAGAATAAAAAGTTTGTGAACTACTATACCTGTGTTTTATGGTGGCTTAATGCAACCCTTGATTGTAACTTAAGATGAAATGAAAAATTCTTACATTGTTAGTTTTACACTGAAGCATGGACTCATTTATTAAGTAAATTAAAAATTGATTTTATTGATTCTAGGGAAGTGATTCGAGCGGATGATCTCCAAGAAGCTGTCATATCAGCCACCATTAAGCATCTTTCACTCTCTGAGACTGTTCGCCATCTTGGATCAGTGATTGACAATAAATCAGAAGATTATTGGCTCTTGGATAACGTCATGACAGAGGTGTTCCGAAAGTATGACGCCCTCATAAGGCAGCTTCAGGTACAGGCTTGAAATATTTGGCGATCTTAAAAGTTCATGTTTTTCAGAAATTTATTACTTGTCTTTCATTTGAAAATGTTCCTTCATCAAAGCAATTGAACCAATTTTGTAAAAAAAAAAATTTTAAGTTACCATAAGTTTGACCTATGAAATGTGCCAAGAGACTGTTCACTGTTTACATGATGATTTCAGTAAGAAGTACTGTAAAACCTGTAAAGTGCGAAAAACAGAACATTTTCTTAGGTGGAACACCTCAAAGATTTGTGAACCATGAACTTACCCAAAATGAACCCCAGAAAATGGAATTCCTCCCAAGTGGACCTCTTATTGATATATACCACAGGTGCTCCCCTCACACCCGTTTTACTGTATACATGTACATTATTTCCAGACACTAGCTGATTTAGAACAGAAGTGGCAATTGGAAGTTGAGGAGATGGTAGCAGGAACACAGGATATCAATGAGGCATTTTTCATTGATTATCATCTGCAAGAGGTGAGCATGACTCTGGTCATGATCGTTTTCACCTGAAGGATTAAAGGCCCTGTGAAATATGTTAAAGGCCCTATGAAATAGTTAATTCAGTTGAAGCACTTTTTACAAGTATACAGGGTGTCCCAAAAACAGCATCTGAAAAGTGTTTGTTTTCTTCAAGATTTGTGAAGTTAGCCTTAGTTTTCAGGTACAGAAACTACAATTTATTGATGACAATATAACACATAAAAATGAATCATAAAAATGTTGTACATTTTCAGAATAAAGAAAAAGAGCTTGCATTTCTCTGCTATTTGAAGAATGTGGAAATGGACCATGGTAACCATGACAATACAGTGAATAATTTAAGGTAATGATTTTGAAAACAAAGAAAGAAATGCATTTGATCAGTGCTTATTCCACAATTATATTAGGAAGGGCATTTTAAAAGTTTATTTTTTCACTGAGTGGGATAAATTTCGTTTTCATTTTTTGATGGAGACTCAGTACCTACTTCCAACCTGTCTTGGAAAAGCAAATGTAAACTCAAACGTATTATAGGAACGGTGATTAAAATTTCATGGATCCATTCAACTATATATTACCTCAAAAATTCATACTTTTCTACAATAAAATAGAAGAAATGCTGTGGATACTCTTCCAAATCCCAAGTAAAAGAATCATCTTCATGGCATAACAATATTTTCATATTATGAATTTCATCAGTTGCGCATGAGTCTCAATGCTGTTTAAAAAACATATAGGTATTGGAAATTCAACTATTTCACTTTATTTAGGGAAAAACTTGAACAAGAGGTCTCAGCAGCAACTAGCGACCAGAATTCAAGTTGCAAGCCAAAGATATCAATGATGAAAACCAGAGAGCTTGTTGCAGGAATATTGGAGAAACTCAACTTGTTACTTACAGTCACAATCGCTCCAGAACAGTCGCATTCCCGCACATATTCTAGAATGACGTCACAAGCTAATGAAGCTCAGAGGATGGGTATGTCAACTATTAAATATACAATAAGATCTCTCTATTGGAACACCACTGGGACTGACCAATAGTGTTCAGATTAGCAGGTGTTCACATTTCAAGGTTTTATCATAAAAAAGTCAGTCGGAGATAATAAATTGGGACCAAGAAAGGTGTTCACATTTAGAGGTGTTCAGACTAGATCTGTGTTCATATATACAGGTTTCACTGTACAGTGTTTGTAGCTCATGAAGTGAAGACAGTTTACAAATGGTCCATTGGATCTTAAGAGTTAGGGAGAATGTATGAGAAACTTTGGATCTTGTACAATGGAAAGACTTGCACGTTGCATTCAATGATTCAGGGTGTTTAATGAGTGTTCCACAACTCAACAAAAGTCTATGCATGCCTTTATAGTCTGTGTATCAGTGCAGATAAAATAATTCAACTGTTCCTCTAAGGAGGGATATCTGGGTCTGTCTTTCTGTGATATTTATTAAAGATGCAAATAAGTAATACACATACATACATGCATATAGCACACTCTATTATAGACATCTAGACTGCACCATTGCATTTGTAAAACTTCTGCTATAGCATTGTCACTTAATTTGCAGTAGCCAGTGTTATGGTTCACTCAGATACTGATGTCCTGAAGTCATCTCTCACTTATAACAGAAGTCTGTCTGCTCCTTCTCACATTGAATCCTCTCAGGATGATAGTATATTGGACATCATGAAGCTGCAGAGGTAGGGTGGCTGCTTTAACATGGAATTAACTTGACCAAAACTGTTCAGATTGACAGGTGTTAACACTGCGAGAAAACTTCAGTTTGAGCAATTTATTAAATCAAGGGTTAAATCTGACCTCAAAATTCACTTTGAACATTTTATTAATAGTTCAGAAATGACATATCTTTTTGTGTTTTTTGATATTGTACCAACCATTCAGAGGTACAATATATATAAAGTCCCATACTTTACTTTGGATCACCTTCTATTGCAGGGGTAGAGAACGTAGAGGGGCAGCAACATTGCTACAAGATCTTGTTGTAGATGAAAAGCCTGACAGACCCCCACATGTCATCATCATTGACCAACTCTTCAATTTCATTGGCAGCAATCAAGAAAAAGCAGTAAGTATAAATCAAGGGATCCCTTTAGTAACCATGTGCACCTAATGTTGAGGCAGTATGCTAACCTAATGTGTGTCACAATCAAAGAACAGAGTTTTGGGTATAAGGGTTTCTTAAGACCTGAGAGATATTGCAATATTAGAAAACTGATATGATTATCAGTAATATTTATGCAATTTTTCTACTCCATAATAGTAGACACATATTGTCAAATATCTATATAAGTAGACTAGAGCCACATGTCCCTGAAGAAGACCATGCAGGAACATTTCATTAAGTTGTTATTGGTTAAATGATAGAGATGTATTTCACTTGCAGGTATCATGTAAGATCTTCCTGTCTGCAGCTCATGTTAGATGGCGCCGCGGTCACACACGCAAGCAAGCGTTGGTTCACATGAAGGAACTCCTTGGTGCTGCCCTGAGGGTAGGGGGCGCCACTCATCTTGTAGCAGCAGTTACATCTGTCATCCAATCAGGACCAAGGTATTCATACTAATTAATATTGTTTCTCATCTTACTCACATTCAGCCATCTTTGCATGTTAAAGGTTACAGCCATTTTTCCGTCCTAAAATTAATAAAAAAGTGACACATGCAAGATGAAATTACTTGTGACATCACATCTTTATCAACAACTCATTTCAATATAAACACTGTTGATTTGAGTATCCATGCTTCTATAGCATTTGCTGTCAAATGCTATCATGGCAATGGAGCTTTGTCATAATTGCATTCATTTATTACTCATATTTTATATCCAGGATTGAAGAGTTGACATGTGGTGGCATGGTAGATGTTGTCAGGGATGCCTTCTCTGAGACTATGACAGCAGTAGTTCAGCTAGCAGCCCATTACCCTATTGCTTGTCATAATTGCATTTATTTATTACCAATGTTTTATATCCAGGATTGAAGAGTTGACATGTGGTGGCATGGTAGATGTTGTCATGGATGCCTTCTCTGAGACTATGACAGCAGTAGTTCAGCTAGCAGCCCATTACCCAATTGCTTGTCATAATTGCATTCATTTATTACCTATGTTTTATATCCAGGATTGAAGAGTTGACATGTGGGGGCATGGTAGATGTTGTCAGGGATGCCTTCTCTGAGACTATGACAGCAGTAGTTCAACTAGCAGCCCATTACCCTATTGCTTGTCATAATTGCATTCATTTATTACCCATATTTTATATCCAGGATTGAAGAGTTGACATGTGGTGGCATGGTAGATGTTGTCAGGGATGCCTTCTCTGAGACTATGACAGCAGTAGTTCAGCTAGCAGCCCATTACCCAATTGCTTGTCATAATTGCATTCATTTATTACCAATGTTTTATATCCAGGATTGAAGAGTTGACATGTGGTGGCATGGTAGATGTTGTCAGGGATGCCTTCTCTGAGACTATGACAGCAGTAGTTCAGCTAGCAGCCCATTACCCAATTGCTTGTCATAATTGCATTCATTTATTACTCATATTTTATATCCAGGATTGAAGAGTTGACATGTGGTGGCATGGTAGATGTTGTCAGGGATGCCTTCTCTGAGACTATGACAGCAGTAGTTCAGCTAGCAGTTCATTACCCAATTGCTTGTCATAATTGCATTCATTTATTATCCATATTTTATATCCAGGATTGAAGAGTTAACATGTGGTGGCATGGTAGATGTTGTTAGGGATGCCTTCTCTGAGACTATGACAGCAGTAGTTCAGCTAGCAGCCCGTTACCCAATTGCTTGTCATAATTGCATTCATTTATTACTCATATTTTATATCCAGGATTGAAGAGTTGACATGTGGTGGCATGGTAGATGTTGTCAGGGATGCCTTCTCTGAGACTATGACAGCAGTAGTTCAGCTAGCAGCCCATTACCCAATTGCTTGTCATAATTGCATTCATTTATTACCAATGTTTTATATCCAGGATTGAAGAGTTGACATGTGGTGGCATGGTAGATGTTGTTAGGGATGCCTTCTCTGAGACTATGACTGCAGTAGTTCAGCTAGCAGTTCATTACCCAATTGCTTGTCATAATTGCATTCATTTATTACTCATTTTATATCCAGGATTGAAGAGTTGACATGTGGTGGCATGGTAGATGTTGTCAGGGATGCCTTCTCTGAGACTATGACAGCAGTAGTTCAACTGGCAGCCCGCTACCCAATTGCTTGTCATAATTGCATTTATATATTACCCATATTTTATATCCAGGATTGAAGAGTTGACATGTGGTGGCATGGTAGATGTTGTCAGGGATGCCTTCTCTGAGACTATGACAGCATTAGTTCAACTGGCAGCCCGCTACTCAATTGCTTGTCATAATTGCATTTATATATTACCCATATTTTATATCCAGGATTGAAGAGTTGACATGTGGTGGCATGGTAGATGTTGTTAGGGATGCCTTCTCTGAGACTATGACAGCAGTAGTTCAGCTAGCAGCCCATTACCCAATTGCTTGTCATAATTGCATTCATTTATTACTCATATTTTATATCCAGGATTGAAGAGTTGACATGTGGTGGCATGGTAGATGTTGTTAGGGATGCCTTCTCTGAGACTATGACAGCAGTAGTTCAGCTAGCAGCCCATTGCCCAATTACTTGTCATAATTGCATTCATTTATTACCAATATTTTATATCCAGGATTGAAGAGTTAACGTGTGGTGGCATGGTAGATGTTGTCAGGGATGCCTTCTCTGAGACTATGACAGTAGTAGTTCAGCTAGCAGCCCATTACCCAATTGCTTGTCATAATTGCATTCATTTATTATCCATATTTTATATCCAGGATTGAAGAGTTAACATGTGGTGGCATGGTAGATGTTGTTAGGGATGCCTTCTCTTAGACTATGACAGCAGTAGTTCAGCTAGCAGCCCATTACCCAATTGCTTGTCATAATTGCATTCATTTATTACCAATGTTTTATATCCAGGATTGAAGAGCTGACATGTGGTGGCATGGTAGATGTTGTCAGGGATGCCTTCTCTGAGACTATGACAGCAGTAGTTCAACTAGCAGCCCATTACCCAATTGCTTGTCATAATTGCATTCATTTATTACCAATGTTTTATATCCAGGATTGAAGAGTTAACATGTGGGGGCATGGTAGATGTTGTCAGGGATGCCTTCTCTGAGACTATGACAGCAGTAGTTCAGCTAGCAGCCCATTACCCAATTGCTTGTCATAATTGCATTCATTTATTACCAATGTTTTATATCCAGGATTGAAGAGTTAACATGTGGGGGCATGGTAGATGTTGTCAGGGATGCCTTCTCTGAGACTATGACAGCAGTAGTTCAACTAGCAGCCCATTACCCAATTGCTTGTCATAATTGCATTCATTTATTACCAATGTTTTATATCCAGGATTGAAGAGTTAACATGTGGTGGCATGGTAGATGTTGTCAGGGATGCCTTCTCTGAGACTATGACAGCAGTAGTTCAGCTAGCAGCCCATTACCCAATTGCTTGTCATAATTGCATTCATTTATTACCAATGTTTTATATCCAGGATTGAAGAGTTAACATGTGGGGGCATGGTAGATGTTGTCAGGGATGCCTTCTCTGAGACTATGACAGCAGTAGTTCAACTAGCAGCCCATTACCCAATTGCTTGTCATAATTGCATTCATTTATTACCAATGTTTTATATCCAGGATTGAAGAGTTGACATGTGGTGGCATGGTAGATGTTGTCAGGGATGCCTTCTCTGAGACTATGACAGCAGTAGTTCAACTAGCAGCCCATTACCCAATTGCTTGTCATAATTGCATTCATTTATTACCAATGTTTTATATCCAGGATTGAAGAGTTGACATGTGGGGGCATGGTAGATGTTGTTAGGGATGCCTTCTCTGAGACTATGACAGCAGTAGTTCAGCTAGCAGCCCATTACCCAATTGCTTGTCATAATTGCATTCATTTATTATCCATATTTTATATCCAGGATTGAAGAGTTGACATGTGGTGGCATGGTAGATGTTGTCAGGGATGCCTTCTCTTAGACTATGACAGCAGTAGTTCAGCTAGCAGCCCATTACCCAATTGCTTGTCATAATTGCATTCATTTATTACCAATGTTTTATATCCAGGATTGAAGAGTTGACATGTGGGGGCATGGTAGATGTTGTTAGGGATGCCTTCTCTGAGACCATGACAGCAGTAGTTCAACTAGCAGCCCATTACCCAATTGCTTGTCATAATTGCATTCATTTATTATCCATATTTTATATCCAGGATTGAAGAGCTGACATGTGGTGGAATGGTAGATGTTGTCAGGGATGCCTTCTCTGAGATTATGACAGCAGCAGTTCAACTAGCAGCCCATTACCCAATTGCTTGTCATAATTGCATTCATTTATTATCCATTATCCAGGATTGAAGAGTTAACATGTGGTGGCATGGTAGATGTTGTCAGGGATGCCTTCTCTGAGACTATGACAGCAGTAGTTCAACTAGCAGCCCATTACCCTATTGCTTGTCATAATTGCATTCATTTATTACTTATATTTTATATAGGATTGAAGAGTTGACATGTGGTGGCATGGTAGATGTTGTAAGGGATGCCTTCTCTGAGACTATGACAGCAGTAGTTCAGCTAGCAGCCCGTTACCCAATTGCTTGTCATAATTGCATTCATTTATTATCCATTATCCAGGATTGAAGAGTTGACATGTGGTGGCATGGTAGATGTTGTCAGGGATGCCTTCTCTGAGACTATGACTGCAGTAGTTCAGCTAGCAGCCAATTACCCAATTGCTTGTCATAATTGCATTCATTTATTATCCATTATCCAGGATTGAAGAGTTGACATGTGGTGGCATGGTAGATGTTGTCAGGGATGCCTTCTCTGAGACTATGACAGCAGTAGTTCAACTAGCAGCCCATTACCCAATTGCTTGTCATAATTGCATTCATTTATTACCAATGTTTTATATCCAGGATTGAAGAGTTAACATGTGGGGGCATGGTAGATGTTGTTAGGGATGCCTTCTCTGAGACTATGACAGCAGTAGTTCAACTAGCAGCCCATTACCCAATTGCTTGTCATAATTGCATTCATTTATTATCCATATTTTATATCCAGGATTGAAGAGCTGACATGTGGTGGCATGGTAGATGTTGTTAGGGATGCCTTCTCTGAGACTATGACAGCAGTAGTTCAACTAGCAGCCCATTACCCAATTTCTTGTCATAATTGCATTCATTTATTATCCATATTTTATATCCAGGATTGAAGAGTTAACATGTGGTGGCATGGTAGATGTTGTCAGGGATGCCTTCTCTGAGACTATGACAGCAGTAGTTCAACTAGCAGCCCATTACCCAATTGCTTGTCATAATTGCATTCATTTATTACCAATGTTTTATATCCAGGATTGAAGAGTTAACATGTGGTGGCATGGTAGATGTTGTCAGGGATGCCTTCTCTGAGACTATGACAGCAGTAGTTCAGCTAGCAGCCCGTTATCCAATTGCTTGCTGCAACAGCATTGGCCTGCTCTCTATTATACCATACACAAGGTAGCTCTCTATCATATTATACTCAAGGCAGATCTCTATTATGCCATACAGGAGGTAGCTCTATAGTATTTTATATAAAATATGAGATTGTTTACTTTTTGAATATGGCTTTGAATATGGCTAACATTGTTAAAGAATTAATATAAAAATGCTGAGAGAAAAATTATCTCACACATTTATGTACAATATTTACTGTATGTTCTGTATTTCTTATAGAGCTGAGGAGAAATGCCTGGTACGCTGTGGTCTGGTGCACCTGCTTGACAAACTCTGCAGTCTCAGCAGCTGCCTTAAGGGGGAAAGGACAGAAGGGGGCTCTAGTGAAGGGCAGACAACACGGGAGAGGGTCTCCTTAATGGCATGGGCAGGCTTCCAGGTCCTGGCCAATAGATGTGTCTCATGGGAGCAAGAAGATAGTAAGTCATGAAGAAGCTAAAATTACAGTAAAACCTCTATACTCTTAATAGTCACTGGGTCTGGCTAAAAGTGTTTGAGTTTGCAGGTGTTTACATGCCATGATTTTTTTTATTATTATTATGTGGGTTAATTGGAGATATAACAAAATTGGGACTAAGAAAAAAAGTGTTCACATAGAGAGGTGTTTGGATTAGAGATATGTTGAGATATACAGGTTTCACTGTAATGTTTGTTTGCAACATTTTCACATTTTATTATGATGCTTGAGTTGAAGAATTTTGGTGCCACAGGAAGACAACAATCATAAAAAGTAGATATTAACCTTTAACTTGAATATTTCATGCCTAATTTGAAATTAATTTCAAGGGTGTGATTTTTGCCAAAAGGAGTTACTACTAGGGCCTGTTTTTCTCAATATATAATAAATGCTCTGAAAAAGAAGTAAAGTGATAAAATATGTTTTGCTCAATTATATTTTAATACAAGATTTTCTAACATTCAGCTCCCTACCATCCCGAGCAGTTAGAGCATTCAGGCCTAGCTCGTCAAGTATCCATGCTACTCACACACCATCTGGTGAGGGCCACAGAAAGCAGTGGAAATGAGGCTGCGGGGACAGAGGCACTACAAGAGGTGTTAACTCTGCTTAACAACTTATCTAGGTGAGCTTTAATAGACATACAATTAGATTTAAATTACAATTTTTACTGGATCCAATTTACTTCATTTACATATTTGAACATATACCGATATACAAGAATTGCATACTTGTATACCGTGAGCAAGCAAGAGATGATATTTTGTTATATGCATGTATGCCTTAAATGTGTTGAATTGTTGCAGCCATTTTTGAGGTTTTTACAATGTTTTTGTTTTCCAATGGAAAATAACAAACTATATACATGCATTTCTGTTGTCACTTTGATCCAAGTTTTCCAAAAAGCGCCATCAATGTCGTGATCCTTTTTAATTTCAGAAGCAAAATGGGAAAAACTATACTAAGTCAGGCTGATTGTGTCTCTAAACTTCTCTCCCTGCTGCTAGACCAGAGACCGTCTCCTAAACTTGTACTCATAATACTACAACTATGCCGTGTTGCCCTGCCACTCATGAGTGCGGAAGAATGTGATAAAGTGGACTTGCCTGCTTGGGGATCGAATTTATACACGGCAGAAGATTCTGGTCATAAAGACGCACCTTCTAAGATTGTTAGCCTCCTTCTTGCCAAACTTGGGGATTTTGTAGTGCCAGGTGAGTCAAAATAGTTTTTAAATGTTACCTGTGTGAAATATCATGTGAGCTGTATTGTGAATGTACTATGTGAATTGGATAGAAGTCTGTTTGTCCATTATCTGTAAACAAAACTAAAAAGAAAACAAATTAAAACTGCTTTTTGTACTGGGTCATACATGGTCAAAATATCAATGACCATGGCAAAGCTGCAAAGCCAAGATAGTACATAAATAACACATTAATAATTGGCAAGATATCAGGAGAAAACTATTGCTTAAATTTGATCCCTTTTCTTCAACCAGATACATGTATCTCAGAACTAGGATCGACCTATGAAGGTGTCAAGAGGGATTGTTAATAATGGTATCTTTTTTCAGTTTGTGACACTGTTCTAGTCAGTTTTATTACCATGCCTGATACAAGTATTTTTGTTCAATTTTAAAAAAGCTAATGTTTGTTTTCCTTTCCATCAGGTGGTCACACAACAATATTTAGCAGACGTCCTTCAGCTGAACTCAACTCACAAGGTGGCGCCAGTAGTAGTAATAAAGAAAAAGCAGATGGAGAAATCCAAGATGGTCGCCTATCAGTGTTCATCCATAAACGTTCAGATCAGTCTTCCCATGAAGTGATACAACCCCTTATAAGGTATTAGTTTCAAGCTTTTTTCACATATTTTGTATATTTTTGATGTAGATTGACGTGCATTACTTATCAATGACATCAAGATTTGTAAGTTCATGTAACTTGATCATGATTTCAGCTCTGATACCAGGCCATTTAGACTTGGGGGTGGCGCTAACATGGAAAGAGTTGTTAGAATGGACAGAGAGATGACTAAGGTTAGAGAAATATTTACACATTTTTGGCACAACTTTTACAAGATATATTACAACAATTTGAATATTGCTCCATTTTTCTTTAACTCTGTTAAATAGAGAGATTGTGCCATCAGTCCAATTGTCCATTAAGGCAATAACTCAAATACTTTGAGGCATAAGGTCTTTGCTTATGAAAGAGTCATCTATATGGCTGCTCACTTTAAAATGAACACCTTTTTTTCATATTTGACCTTTTCCTACATTTTGCCTAGTGCCTGGCTAATAGCCTCTCGCAATGTGTTATTTTGGTTGCCATAGTGATGTGTCATTTATGTGTATTGCTATAGCTAAGACTGGTAGAGCTATAGTGTCATTTTGGTTGCCATAGTGATGTGTCATTTCTTTGTTTTGCTATTGTAGACTGGTAGAGCTGAGGTGTGTACAGAAGACACAGTGACTGCATTGAGAAGGGCAGCCAAGTGGGCATTGCTGGGATTGGTGATATCAACAGGCCCACCACAGGAGGTCAATACCCAGGGTTCAACACCTGGAGACAAAAAGAAAACTGGCTCAGAAGTAGTCTGTAAGGAGCGGAATGCTGATTTGGCCAGGTAAGATCAATTTTTGTGTAGAGTAAACATTGTCTAATGACAGTTTTCATATTGAGAGGTGTTCAGATTACAGAAGTGTTCATATTGAGAGGTGTTCAGATTACAGAAGTGTTCATATTGAGCGGTGTTCAGATTACAGAGGTGTTCATATTGAGCGGTGTTCGGATTACAGAGGTGTTCATATTGAGCGGTGTTCAGATTACAGAGGTGTTCATATTGAGCGGTGTTCAGATTACAGAGGTGTTCATATTGAGCGGTGTTAGGATTACAGAAGTGTTCATATTGAGCGGTGTTCAGATTACAGAGGTGTTCATATTGAGCGGTGTTCGGATTACAGAGGTGTTCATATTGAGCGGTGTTCAGATTACAGAGGTGTTCATATTGAGCGGTGTTCAGATTACAGAGGTGTTCATATTGAGCGGTGTTCGGATTACAGAGGTGTTCATATTGAGCGGTGTTCAGATTACAGAGGTGTTCATATTGAGCGGTGTTCAGATTACAGAGGTGTTCAGATATACTGTGGTAGATCAACTGATCTAATATACTCATTTCACATTTTGCAGAACTGATCCTGTGAGACCATTTATAAGTGGCCATGTTGCTAACAGTATGTCTGCAGAGGTGATTGCTTTGCTACATGGCCTGTTATGTGCACCTGAGACAACTACTGCACAAGTCTGGGCCAATGTTGTTGAGAAGGTAACACACATTACCTTTATATTCGCTATTCCTCTGTAGCTGTAATATTCCTAATTGTCGAAGGTGTAAAGGATAGGTGTATGAGATAAAGTTTTGAAATGAGAGAGAGTTGATTGATGCTCATGTAAATTTAAATAGTTATCACATGATTGTAAAGTAACATTTGAAATCAAATCCTATGTTGCATGCAGATACATTTCAAAATTATAACGCTATTCTCAACTTATGGTATATCACTTATGTTTTGTGGCTCCGATATTTGATCTGCCATTCACATCCTATCACTTTTGGCTCCAGTGGTATTCAAATTAGACAAGTTCTACTGTATTATACATAGGTAATATCAGGTGCATTGGAGTGCATACCACACCTAGTGAAGGCCTTGGAGAACATAGGCTCTCCTCGCTATGACCAGGGGGAACTGATGAGTCTTGCGAAGCAGGCAAATGCTGCTCTGTGTGCTCTTGGAGGGTTCAAAGAAACTGTCAAGCCAGGTTGCGAAGTACAGGTACAGTTATCCATTTAACTCTTCTTTGTTTGTATATGAATCGAATCTAGACAAAACCTCGACAGTACTGTTAATGATGAATGATAAAAACATCTTTTCATACCTAATGTGGGTATGTACAGTGTTCAGCGAGTGGCATTCAGAGTTTGGCAGGTGTAGTACTGTGTCTGTAACAAATGGCAGGTGGTGACATTTTGCATGTTCGTGCTTTGTATACACATATGATCCTTCATTTCATGTTCATAATGTACTATGCAATGGGTCATATATATTCATATTTTTCTCCTATTTTCTTCAGATAACTGGAGAGGGATTGGGAGACTGTAGAGGAACAGTGATTTCTGTGTCAGAGCAGACAGGTTTAGCTACAGTGGCTCTACTAGTGGGGCCCAATGACACTACACCAAGATATAGTGATACAATCCAAGTACCCCTTGTACGATTGCAACATCCTCGCAATAAGGTAATAATGATTCTCTTTTGCTATTTGCATATTAGGTCTCAACCAATGATGTTGACTGCATCTTCACTGACAGATTTGATTGTTTTTTCTCCAGCCTTTCCCCTTGCAATAATTATCAATGACAGTTCATTTCTGTTTAGATTCATTTCTGTGACAGATTTCATTGTTTTTTTCTCTCCAGCCTTTGCCCTTGCAAGAACTATCAATGACAGATTCCACTGTTTTTCTCCAGCCTTTGCTCTTGCAAGAATTATCAGTGACAGATTTCATTGTTTTTTTCTCCAGTCTTTGCCCTTGCAAGAGTTATTAATGACAGATTCCATTGTTTTTTCTCCAGCCTTTGCCCTTGCAAAAATCATCAGTGACAGATTCCATTGTTTTTTTTCTCTAGCCTTTGCCATCGCAAGAATTATCAATGACAGATTTCATTGTTTTTTCTCTCCAGCCTTTGCCCTTGCAAGAATTATCAGTGACAGATTCCACTGTTTTTTTCTCCAGCCTTTGCCCTTGCAAGAGTTATCAATGACAGATTCCATTGTGTCAGCCATACTGACATTGCTCCTACCCCAGAATGGAAATGAGTCTTCCATGCAGCAAGCACTACCCTCACATGGGGATGGCACAAGTATGCCTAATCAAGTCTGCAGGGTTGTTGCAGAAATTAGAGCCAGGTAGGTTCAGCTAGAAACATTCAAGACAATTCAATTTTTTAACACATTAATTAAAGCAAGAAAATGGTTTATCAGCATTTTAATCTTACAACCAAGCTGGGATTTGACCAAATCATCTTGTTGGAGACCCCAAAGTATGCAAATTTGATTTGTGACATTTCCTGAATCAGTCTCAAAAGTGCTGATTTAGCACATTTTATTTTATCCGAGTCTGAGTTCTATTGTTTGTCGGATTCTTTTCAGTAGCACAACTAACCAGCTGTTTTTAAATTAGATTTTATTCCTGGCTTTAGAATGTGTACACCATTTTTGAAAGTGTCCTCTTCATTTTCAGGGCTTGTCAAGTTCTATCCAACCATCTAACGAATGCCAATTTCGCCAGTGCATTTATCCAGCATTCTAGCACATGTATAGACATGTTGAAGAGTCTTGCAAAGGACTGCAGTTCAGGTGATAGACTTACCTTGGTTGCATCCAGGTGTGAACAATTGAGGATGCTCTATAGGGACTGTGCTAAACCACCTCCTCCATCCTCTAAACTCATCAATAAAACAGTAAGTCAAATCAGCATCTTATGTCTCTTAGGAAAAATCACATTTGATCTATGGCAACCGTTTAGTGGCTGTAGCTTCCCAAATTCGAGACATATATGCAGCATAGAATATATGGGATAAGCAGTACGATGTTGATTTTCTATATTGATTTTGTGAAGCTATGGCTGTCATAGAGCAAATGTGACCAAGGCTTTAGTCAATATACACATTTCATGGGTACTAACCAGACCTCATGATACCATGAGATGGTTTGGTGGAATCATAGTTAAGGCACAGGGGTATACAGTACATATCAGCTAACGCGATGGTATTATTATCAGGTCAGCCTGGATTGTAAAATGCTCACTGTGGAATCTACAATGGTTTTACTACAAATGGTTTTAAATAGCTTCAAGTGTTGCAAATAAAACATTTTACTACTGGAGTCAATGTGAGTTGCATTGATAATGGATTAGTGAATGAATTTAAATGAAAACAAGAAAATAATAATAAGGTTATTACTTGGAATTAATTTTAAAATTGTACTACTAGGCTAAAGAAATCTGCTGGGATGTTTCAAGAGCCTTCCCACCTGTGCGGGCCTGTATGTTCTCCCATGGGCTGACTGGGGTGACATTCCTGGGTGATCCGAGTGTTAGCAGTGGTCTCCCCAGGGGCACTATGGTATATGCCACACAGCCCATACCACAACAGGTAAGTCAATTGTCACAATAGGGAGGTAAAGGTACACTGTGTTAAGAGAACCTGTATGTAAACATGTACTGTGATATTATAACCCCCAGTTATTGCAGTCCCCCTCTCAATTGGTTCTTCCAGGGCCCTGATGATGAATATTTTCCTTGTACCTTTATACTAAAACAGGCTAGTAAACAATAGGAAGGGAAAACCCTCTAAAGGTGCTAAATTTACATGTTCATGTACCAGTTCTCTTATCAATGTTTAATTTAATTTAGTCTTAATGTTTTAACTAGTTTAGTAGACTGAGATGTTTTAATTAGAAAAAAAACTACTGAAGGTCTAAACAACTTGTGTTACAATTTGCAGTGGTGACATTTTGTCATGTCAATGCCTTGTTTTGCAATGGCCTGATTTCAAATTGTTGAGCTTATTCAAGATAGGAGTAAAGACTGTTGCAACAAATCATTGTAAAATGAAAAGAAAAAAACAATGGAGGTTAGGGGCCAGATCAATATTTCAATGTCCATCAAAAACATAATTAATTTAGTTTAGGTCTTAACCCTGTTCCCCTTTTAAAGAAAGTCAAAATGTTGGTGTTATGTGCTGTGTAAACTAATCACAATGCTGATTTGCATACAGTGTATAAGTACAACCTCAGCATACAATATATCTGCTACTGCTATGAACATTTCAATATCAAATTCTCTTTATACTTGTACTGATCTGTTGAGTAAAACTTTCATACAATGGCTGTCAAACCAGAAATTGCAGAAGACAAAACCCATGGAAACTAAAAATTAACATTCCTCGCCTACTTATATACCCCCTTCCCCTCCCCCTAACATGATTGTGTTTTTGATGGACATTGAAATACTGACCTGTCCCCTTACAGTAGTGGATAGTGTTGTACCTATTCATTATAGTTTGAAAAGAATTAATGTGCTAAACACAGTGACTCAAAAAGTAAGTAGATTATGAATAGTTCTTTCATTCTATATTTTGCTTATACAATATAGATAAGAAGGTCAAGATCTACATGTAACTGAACATGTTTTACATACATGTCAGTATTATCGTCAATTAAGTTCAGACAATGCTATACCTGTGAATCTGATAGTATTCTACACATGTTAGTATCTGGATAACACAGTTTTTGGGCAAGAGTTCAAATACTTGAGATGGACATACTATACACTTGAAACTGATAGAATTCTACCCTATATATTTACAATCAGGGCTATAACAATATATCAGATTACAGGTGTACAATCATAATCTGAAAAGTTAAGAGTTCTTACATGTATATAGGAATAGCAACCAAAACGCCATGAAGTTTGATGAAACTTTATTGAAGATTGGAGGATTTGGAAGGTACCAGAAGCTCCTTATATTTAGCTTCATAATATTTTATCCAGCATGCTCTTGGCAGTATACCTGTCTTAGTTTTCTTGCTGGTGACATGGAGCATTGGTGTAAATTGGACGTGAATGGTTTTAATAAAAGTTATCTTAAGGAGTTAGTTATTCCTAAAACTATTGATGAGTTTGGTAAGATAACCTATAGGAAATGTGAAGTGTATGATATCAATATCACAGAACAAGATGCACTAGAGGGGGATCTGGCCAACCTTGTATCATCGTCTAATTGGACAAGGGTACCATGTAAACATGGTTGGGAATATGACAAGACTGAGTTTTATACTACCATTGTAAGCAAGTACAATACAGTTTGTGATAGAGCATGGTTACAAACCATGCCAGCTATGGCTTATGTCCTAGGATTATTTTTTGGATCCATCCTTGCAGGATACATGTCTGACAGATGGGGTAGAAAACGGACTGCAGTGATCATGATAATCGTCCAAATGGTGTGCAACATTGGAGAAGCATTTTCACCATATTTCTGGCTGTTGATTGTGTTTCGATTTTTCGTTGGAATTAGTAATATGGGAGCAAGCTCGGCCTTTTGGATTCTTGTCCTAGAAGGCATGCCTCCTGTTAACAGGAACCATTGTACATATTACTGTCGAGTTGGCCGTATCCTTGATTTCACTTTACCCATAACTGCATATTTCCTTCGAAATCATGTTCACTTACAGATAGTGTCTGCAGGTGTGGCAATACCTGGACTGATTTGTGCCATACTCTTGCCCGAAAGTCCAAGATGGCTTCTCTCTCGCAAACAGTATAAAGAGTATGATAAAGTAGTATGCCTGATCGCTAAAATAAATAATGCTGACTTTTCTAATGAGATGGTTACAGAAGAGAGACAACCAGAAGAACAGAAAAATCAGGCTTCAGAGGGGGTGTCTTTTCGGAACTTACTTAGAACGCCACGTCTCAGAATGCGCACACTGATTTTGTGGTTTATATGGTTCAACTTTAACTTGGTTTTGTTTGCATTTACAACAAACATTGGAAAACTAGTGCCTGGAAACATATATCTAAATATGGCAATTGTAACAGCTGGTTCAGAGCTACCTTCATTGTTTACAATGTGGATTGCTTTATTCAAAACTGGTAGAAGACTTGCATTCATAATCTACAATTTGATAACTGGAGTCTGTTGTTTACTGATGATACCGCTAATAATGATAAATATGCAACTGTTAGTAACAATAGCAGCTATGATAGCAATGTCAGCAGTGAAGACTATGGCACAGATTCTTTTCCTATACACAGGGGAAATATATCCCACACCAGCCAGGACTATTGGCTTTGGTAGCGCCTCAAGCATTGGCCGAATTGCAGCCTTGATAGCCACACAACTCACACTGTTGAAGAAGATATGGTTTGGCCTGCCATATGTGATACTCTGCATATTTCCTATTGCCTCAAGTGTCCTGGCATATTTCCTCCCAGAAACAAAAGGCTTCCATTTACCAGAAACATTTAAAGAAGCAGAAGTGTTTGGGACTCCTGAATACAATAATTTAGATAAGGAGTATATGAGAAATGGTTCAATACAACTGAGAGAACCATTTATTAGCGATACAGTATTGGACAAAACCAAATCATCCAGCAAGATATAGACAAATACACGTACATGCGATACTAACTTCAACCGTTTATTTGAATTTTTGACCTACCAGATGCTTGAAAATCAAGGATTGCGAGTCTCATACTGCATCGCTTTTTTTCAAACTTATACCATTAAAAGCAAAACAAAATTGCCTTTCTATTGGTGCATTACTTTATTGTAAAGAGTCCCTCGTTCTAGCAGCGTTTTTGTCCCCAGCTGTTAGAAGGCCTTCTTACAGCTGGGGACCAAAATGCTGCTGGAAGTAGAGACTCTGTTTAAGAGAATAATGTTACTTGTACCATCAGAAAACAATTTTTGTTATGCTTTGAATGGAACAAGTTTGAAGAAAAACGGTGCAGTATGAGACTTGTACTCCTTGATTTTCATACATCTGATAAGTCATGGCAAACGAAATGAATATTTTCAGCGGTATGATTCATATTTTTGGATACGTCTTCAAATTATTTATCAACCAACTGACTTAGTACTATACTCATATTCTCAATGGTATTTTTATGTGGTACCGAGAGTTCCTATGGAATAAATTATATTTACTTGATTGCCATTTTAGTAAGTTGTATTTACTTGATTATCACATCAAATTTGATTCGATTTGAAAACTATATTTATTCTGGGAAGCTCTATCATAACACAACTTCCTGCCTCGTGATAATTTTCTATTATTTACAATACTTGTATGTACAATTCATATAAACTCATACAAATAAATATATAGGATATAGAGAATAATCAATATACAGGGTGTTCAAAAAAAACGCAACCCAAAGAAATCGCTATATCTTGGAAAATACTTATCCAAATGTGTTCATTTTTTCAGGAAAGAAAGAAGAGACTATGTGTGTATAGCTCCTGCTGTTACTTAGTTGTAAAACATGATGTTTTGGACACCTTCTCAAAAGACATTAGTATTGGAAAGATACGAAAAACGCAACCAGAGGTGACTGCCAGAGCAATAAACCCTAATAACTTTCTAACCATGGTGTTTTGGCACTTCAGATTCACCACAAATTATCTTCATATAATGTGTAGTGAATTGGGGGAGTTTCATTAAAATCACTCCAGGGACTTTACCGTCATGGTCAGAATGCCTTCTTAAGTCTGGCTGAACCAGGGTGTTTGACTGGGTTTTGAAAGCATTTCGACCAAAACTGTAAAGTCCCTGGAGTGATTTTGATTTCACTCTACAGATTTATCATACATTGAATGAAGATGATTTGTGCCAAATTTGAATAGCCAAAACACTATGGTTAGAAAGTTATTTGGTTTTATTGCTGCGGCAGTAGTCTCTGACTGCGTTTTTCGTATCTTTCCAATACTAATGTCTTTTGAGCATTTGTCCAAGGCATCATGTTTTACAACTAACTAACAACATGAGCTATACATACACAGTCTCTTCTTTCTTTCCTGAAAAAATGAACACAATTGGACTAGTATTTTCCAAGATATAGCGATTTCTTTGGGTTGCGTTTTTTTTTGAACACCCTGTATATGCATCTTCACATTAATTATTGTTACAGTATTACTATCACGACCTCCTTTAAAGTAGCAAGTAAATAGAAATGACATACTGTACTAGCAACAGTTGCAATTCTCAAGTAGTGTCTAGGACAAATATGATAGACCTTTACATACTTATTACCCACCTTTCCTTTGATTCTCAACCAAGACAGGTTTTCAAAAATGTCTACTCATTTTGGCAAAACATGTGGAAAAATATCTCTAAAAGCTTCAAAATGGCCACCACTTTTATGATCAGAAACTCAACTTTTTGGTTAAAATTCAAAAGTGTTCCATCAATATTTTTATAGTACATGTAATTTGTAATTGAAGATATTATAAATATGTTGGTTATAAGAAAAACATTTGGTTCAGCCATCATAGAGATATGTTCATTTGGGGACAACCAGGTTATAAGAATTAAATTTCTTTTCAATTCAGGACCTTTTTCTATTTGGAGATAGAGATATGTTCATTTGGGGACAACCAGGTTATAAGTATTAAATTTCTGTTTAGGCACCCTCCTTCTATTGGGAGATAGAGATTTGTTCATTTGGGGACAACCAGGAAGATGGAGGTCCTCTAATATCATTTGGCTTCATGCCAAGTGCAGAGAAAAAAGATGGCGCTTGGACAAATCCTGTTGGCACATTCCTCTTCCATAAGTAAGTTTTAATATGAAACCTATTGCTTTGTTTTCCTGTCACAAGTAACTCTCTAATATTAAACATATTGCTATGTTTTCCTGTCACAAGTAACTCTCTAATATCAAGCCTATTGCTATGTTTCCTGTCACGGGTAACTCTCTAATATTAAACATATTGCTATGTTTTCCTGTCATGGGTAACTCTCTAATATTAAACATATTGCTATGTTTCCTGTCACGGGTAACTCTCTAATATTAAACATATTGCTATGTTTTCCTGTCACAAGTAACTCTCTAATATCAAGCCTATTGCTATGTTTCCTGTCACGGGTAACTCTCTAATATTAAACATATTGCTATGTTTTCCTGTCATGGGTAACTCTCTAATATTAAACATATTGCTATGTTTTCCTGTCACAAGTAACTCTCTAATATCAAGCCTATTGCTATGTTTCCTGTCACGGGTAACTCTCTAATATTAAACATATTGCTATGTTTTCCTGTCATGGGTAACTCTCTAATATTAAACATATTGCTATGTTTCCTGTCATGGGTAACTCTCTAATATTAAACATATTGCTATGTTTTCCTGTCACAAGTAACTCTCTAATATCAAGCCTATTGCTATGTTTCCTGTCATGGGTAACTCTCTAATATCAAGCCTATTGCTTTGTTTTCCTGTCACGGGTAACTCTCTAATATTAAACATATTGCTATGTTTTCCTGTCACAAGTAACTCTCTAATATCAAGCCTATTGCTATGTTTCCTGTCACGGGTAACTCTCTAATATTAAACATATTGCTATGTTTTCCTGTCATGGGTAACTCTCTAATATTAAACATATTGCTATGTTTCCTGTCACGGGTAACTCTCTAATATTAAACATATTGCTATGTTTTCCTGTCACAAGTAACTCTCTAATATCAAACCTATTGCTATGTTTCCTGTCACGGGTAACTCTCTAACATTAAACATATTGCTATGTTTTCCTGTCATGGGTAACTCTCTAATATTAAACATATTGCTATGTTTTCCTGTCACAAGTAACTCTCTAATATCAAGCCTATTGCTATGTTTCCTGTCACGGGTAACTCTCTAATATTAAACATATTGCTATGTTTTCCTGTCATGGGTAACTCTCTAATATTAAACATATTGCTATGTTTCCTGTCATGGGTAACTCTCTAATATTAAACATATTGCTATGTTTTCCTGTCACAAGTAACTCTCTAATATCAAGCCTATTGCTATGTTTCCTGTCATGGGCAACTCTCTAATATCAAGCCTATTGCTTTGTTTTCCTGTCACGGGTAACTCTCTAATATTAAACATATTGCTATGTTTTCCTGTCACAAGTAACTCTCTAATATCAAGCCTATTGCTATGTTTCCTGTCACGGGTAACTCTCTAATATTAAACATATTGCTATGTTTTCCTGTCATGGGTAACTCTCTAATATTAAACATATTGCTATGTTTCCTGTCACGGGTAACTCTCTAATATTAAACATATTACTATGTTTCCTGTCATGGGTAACTCTCTAATATCAAACCTATTGCTATGTTTCCTGTCACGGGTAACTCTCTAATATTAAACATATTGCTGTTTCCTGTCATGGGTAACACTCTAATATTAAACCTATTGCTATGTTTCCTGTCACGGGTAACTCTCTAATATTAAACATATTGCTATGTTTCCTGTCACGGGTAACTCTTTAATATTAAACATATTGCTATGTTTCCTGTCATGGGTAACACTCTAATATTAAACATATTGCCATGTTTGTCTTTAACAAGTAAGTCTTACCTGTTCACGGGTAGAAATAATTTGTAAAAAAATTTGCATTAAGAAAAACTATTGTCATCATGAAGAACACTTACTTTACATGTGTGTTAAATATGTATGCTGTTGTAAAAAAAACAAATATTTGCATTTAATTTTGTGATCCTAACCCTTACAGTAATGGTCGTGCTGTGCATTATAATGGATCTAGTCTACTGCAGTGGAAAAGCCTGCGCTTAGATTGTACACTCAATGCTGGAGATGTGGCAGGAATAGGTCAGTGCTGTACACTAAATATGAATATAATTAAAGTTTTCTCCTACCATTGCAAAGCATTTCCATAAATAGGCTGAATTTACTATATCTTAGGCTTTGGCTTGTGAAGATTTTACAAAAGGACTTTCAATTGTCAAACAAATTACTTTTTGTCAATGAATTAAAGTCAATGTACAGTTAGCAATATTAACTAAACATTTTATCAAGAATTCTCACTTATTTTTATTTTCTTTTGATTGTTGTCACATTTGTAATTACATGTAACATACTTATAGCCCATGTGTTCAATAAATATGAATTCCCAATTGTTTGTTTAGGCTGGGAAAGACAAGGAGAGGTGGCACCTGTACTAGGACAGAATGTCAAAGGAAGCGTATTCTTCACTCATAATGGCCGCAAACTGGTATCCACTTTAGATGATGTCTCAGGAGCCATGTGGCCAGTAGTTCATATACAGAAAAAGGCAAGTATTTGTACAATTCACTTCAATCTAAGGTATTTAGAAATGTACTGGGTCTATTTAAGTTTTTGACCCTGCTTGAATAAAATAAACTGAATGCATTTTCAACATTCTTGTTTATTTCAAAGACATTTATAAACTTTTAATCCATTATTCTCACAAAGTAATATTTTTTTATATAGATTCTCTTACTGCATTTTAAATAAGTGGACTGCAAATGAATATCTTGTCATTTATATTTTTTCTTTGAAACTTTGACTTTCTCAGGTGATTGGTCATTCAAGTAGTTACTGAGCAAAAAGGCATTCCATTCACACTCAATGCATGATTCACTGCTTTATACCATGTATCTTGACTAGAATGCTTTTATTCCAGAATACGCGGATCAAGGCCAATTTTGGGTCAAGACCTTTTGCTTTTTCTGCATGGAGAAGCCTTCCATTCACACTGAGTGCCTATTACTTCTCTCTATTTTCTGACTACATTGGTTTATTCTAGAATACGTGGATTAAATCCAATTTGGGGTCAAGACCTTTTGCATTTGCAGCAGGGAGAGAAGCCCTTCACACTTAGTGCCTATCACTTCTCTCTACTTTCTGTCTACAATTTTGATTCCAGAATACACGGATCAAAGCCAACTTTGGGTCAAGACCTTTTGCATTTGCACCAGGGAGAGAAGCCCTTCACACTTAGTGCCTATCACTTCTCTCTATTTTCCGTCTACAATTTTGATTCCAGAATACACGGATCAAAGCCAACTTTGGGTCAAGACCTTTTGCTTTTGCAGCAGGTAGAAGCCACCGTGATGCGGCTGATGACTGCTCAGATGCTCTCCATGAGATCAAAGAAAACTTTAGGTAATTTAACATTTTTCACTTCAAGATTAAGGGAATTAAATCCCTGACTCATTGTATGTTGAGATCGAGTTTATTTATACAGTATAATTATTTTCTTTGCACTTTTTGAGCATTTGCAATTATACCATTTATGTTGCACTGCTGATATGATTCTGAGAACAGTAACTCAAAATGCTGCAGGCATCCTTGTAGCTACATATGTTGGTGATCTGTTAAATAACATATTTTAGGGTTCATAAGTTAATCACCTCTCATGTTATGTTGAATCCTGACTGACATATTCATGAACTCTCATGTTATTTTTGAATCTGACCGACATATTCATGAACTCTCATGTTATTTTTGAATCTGACTGACATATTCATGAACTCTCATGTTATTTTTGAATCTGACCGACATATTCATGAACTCTCATGTTATTTTTGAATCTGACCGACATATTCATGAACTCTCGTGTTATTTTTGAATCTGACCGGCATATCCATGAACTCTCATGTTATTTTTAAACCTGACCACCATTGCATTTATTTAATTATACTAGGTCCTTGCCATTCCAAATGGGTTCTGATAGTGAAAGTGAAGGGACTGTCTCCACCAGTAGTTCCAGTTTGGACTCCAGCTTACCCCAAACCCCAGTGGGCCCACCATGTAGACTACCAGGAATGCCAAGGCCAACAAAAGGTAACTTCGAATTTTCATGTTTTTCATAATAATGTTAATGTTGGTTTTGCCCTTGATAAATGCAATACTAAGGTCTTGTTGAAATAAAACATAAACTTAAAACATGTACAGTATAACCTGTATACCTGAACACCTCTCCATATGAACTCTTCAGTTCCATTTTATGTCACTACCAGAATAGAAGTGGTTATTGTTATAGTCTCCAACTTTTTGGTGGATGGTATTTGGTGTTCGGTAGTTGGTGTTAGGTGTCTGTAACAAATATAGGTTATGTTTTATTTATCAATACTATCATTTCACAATGTCCGACAATGGGCCAAGGCCATGGGCATTAGTGGCCCTGTAACAAATGGCAAGTAGGGATCAGATTAGACAGGTTTTACTGTTCATTTGTCAAACATTGCTCCAGTGCCATAGCATTGAGCCCTATTTTACTGTGTATCACAATTGAATTCTTAACATGAATTTCAGAGTATAACAGTGAACTGTCAAGGCATTACAAAGTGGCCCCATGCTATGACAATTTTTCAACAACTGGCCCTGATCGTTACCAAGTAACCAATCAAGATGAAGAATCAGATGTCGATGATGCTAACCAATCAGAACCAAATGAGGATCATTATGCATTGATTGTTAAAGCATGGGAGCAGAAAGTCTTCCCAACAATTAGACGTAGATTTCGGAATGAGGCTGAGCGAAAGGATGGCCTTGAACAGATACGAGGTGCATTACAATTAGGTAAGAGCCTTTAATTTAAGAAAACAAGGTCTATTTACTAAAGCAAAGAATATTGAGAAAAATGCTATTTTAAAATGTTTTCTATTAATCAGGTAATAAAGAGGCCCAACTGGTGCCAAGAAGTAGTCCAGGTTCTGTTTTTCACAAATGTTGTGTCCAACATAAATTTTTCACATTTTAAGATGCAAATTATGCATTTTCTATAGTTTTGTTCACACCTGTGTAGTCGTGGTTAGATTCAACAGCCATAGGAGCTGAACTTTTCCTTTCCTGTGAGGAGGTTAAGTGTCTAAGCAAGAGGATGGTGTTATTATTAGGCATTTTAAAGGTCCCATTGATGGCTGAATATCAAATATCCTTGCCAAATAGAGCGAACTACAGTGAAACCTGTAAAGTGAAGCACCTCTAGAAGTGGAATACCTCCGTTAGTTGAACACCTCAGAGTCCCGCAAGACTAATTGACTTAATGTTTTATGAACCTCTATAAGTGGAACAACTCCCAAGTGGAACAATTTTTAGAGGTTCAAAAGGTGTTCCACTTAGACAGGTTTTACTCATTCAGATAAAGAATAAGACATTCTCTTGCATTAAGGTATGACTGACATTGCAAGACAGACAGTTGAGTTCCTTTATGAAGAGAATGGAGGAATGCCACGTGATCTTCATCTCCCAACTATTGATGACATCAAAGAGGAGCTTGCTAAGTTTACTATAGAAAGAGTGAAGAAAGGTATGTTCTTTTGTTATGTTTTAGAAATTGTTCAAGAAACACCTCATGTGGGATATACAGTATTCATAATGGTAGGGCGTAGGGCTATGGTGGTTTTCGTAATTTCCTGCTTTTTAACATCACAAAATATACAAAACATATTATTGAATTAAAATAAGCAGACCAGAGAGGCTTATTTAAAATTCCAGACTGCTGAGTAAGATGAGTGCTTAGCTGAGTGCTTAGTAGGTGATCTCATTCAACCCATATGTAAATGTTACAAATGAGTTAAATTTCACATAAAAACTTGATGAATATGTTTCAGGAACAACAGTTATGATATGTAATGTTGATACTGGGCCTAATGGAGCGACAGTTCTTCCAAAGTTTGCAGTAAGGGGAATGATTAAAACATTAGGCCTCTCAGGAATTGTTTTAGACGTTGACCAGGTGAGAATTATGAGCTCTTAGGATAGCCCTTATTGTCAAAAAAGGGAATGTTTTAAAATGAGATGTATGTATATATTGTTTCAGAATTACAGAATTGCATGGGAGATTCTTCAAAAGAAAACAAGAAAAATTTTATTCAATCGAACAAACTTAATTGTTTTAAATGCTGTATTGTACATATTGTAATAAAACAGATAGTGGGTCAAGAATGTTCTGTTAAAATCACAATTTAAATTTGATTGACAGAGCCACGACCTGATACAAGTTGAAACATATCTCCGTAGTGAGGGGGTACTTGTCAGGTACTGGTATCCCATTGAAGTGTTGGAGAGGCCCCCACAGGGTTTTAGAAAGATAGGTGCAACAGGCCAACAGGCTGATCTTGATACAACGAATGTGTTCATACATAGGTGAGTCTTGGATTTGTGCTAACTACTCAATAGGTCAATAGCATTTACAGTATGCTATTTTTATTAAATGGAAATGGGAAAACACAATTTATTTGTGTGGATTTGCAACTCCATGCAACTTCATAGTTTGACCCTGTTGAGCTTCATGATTAACTTGTAGCCTGTATATTCTATGTATTATTTCTGTATGGAAATTGAAATACAATTACTTTTGAAAGTGACATTGAATTGATACATATATGGCAGTATTACATACCTAGCGAAGCATTTGTATGGAAGTCAATGGGAAAGTTAGCGAGCTATATCCACCGATATTGCCCGATTACCCCGATATAGCCCGCTTACCTCGTTTTGATATTAGATTTCTTTAATAACCATGATAATATCATGACGTCACGTCATTGATACAAAGTAACCATGGGAACAAAGGCATGTAATACATCAGTTATGTCACTATGACGTGAAATATGCCTTCGTTCTTGCCCAAATATAGAGCCTCCCAAGGTCGGCCTATATTGGGAGAACTCAGGCATATTTCACGTCATAGTGACATAACCTCTAAATATTACAAATGCATCATCAGATAAACTGACAAATTCATATTGCAGGGAGCTGATAAAATATGAGGGTATGCTGGCGCGTATGTACTGTCGTAGCGCACTTCTGGAGCTGATCAACCAGTGCAACAGTCCCACAATGCAACTGTCCACTATGTTATGTAATATAGGATCCAACATGGCCGCCAGTGCTGCAGTCTTACAAGACCTTGATGTAGAGAATCTACAACTGTTATCCAATGAGCTTCTTGCATATCCTTCATCGCAGGGACCTGTCACGTCAACATCTCTAGTAATATCAGAATCCCCCGCAAAGTGCCAGGCATCACATACCTGTTCAGCTTCTGATGTTTTTTACTGGGACAGTGATCGCTTAAAGAGGGAGCTGTGGGTGTCTATTGCACAGGCAGCCAATCAGGGAGAAGATTATGTCATTGAACTGACCAGTCAGATCTGCGTTTGTCTCCAGGTAAGTTTTAACCCTGGGATTAAAGTTCATGGTCTTTATAGAATAAATAATAATACCCAGTAGTGTAAAATACACAGGTAATGATAGGTTCATCTTTAAGTATATTTCAGTGGAACTATCCACTCAATGGTTTGTGTGAGACCCCCTACTGTATGTGGGAAGGAGTTGGGGTTTTCACAAAATAGGGATGTCATATTCAAGTGAGTGTTAATTTCCTGATTAAAGTGCATATGCATTTCAAAATCCCTACTCCTGAAATGAAGTAATACATGTATGTCAAAATCCTACTCTCTAGGTAAATATTGCATGTCAAATTCCCGAGCCTCTGCCTGAGGGTCTCACACAAATGTTTAATTGATGTGTTGCGTTTCCCATTTCAGACAGCCCCAGAATTATTCCCTTGTGAAGAGTTTCCCATCAATGAGATTAAGGTGAACACTGATGTTCATTTTCCTGGTGCAGCATTCCTGATTGTTTCATGTAAAACAACTGATGGGAAACCTTCCAAATCAGAGTAAGTGACATTTACATTGAGAAGATTGGTTATGAAGAGCTGCAATATTTTTCATAAAATGGTTCATATATTATGTTCACATATCAGACTTAGATATGTGAACAGATACTTTGAGAAGTTACATGTATTTGTATATCATGCCACGTCATTCTTGTTTGCCTTCAAGTGGGGAGAGCATGCGAGGTGGGGAAATTGCCAATTTATATGTCTTGTCATCACATATTTCTACTGTATCTACACAAAAAATCAATCAAAAAATCAAGAACATTCTATCCTTTATATATTCTGAGTTACTAGTATGCATTTTCTTGTGTCACCCTGTAATTCAGTCCATTTTATTTTTCAGCACACCATATAAATCTCCATGGGCAAGAGTGTTCACATACAATGGGCATAGGGTTAAAAAGAATGGAGAATCCTCCAAACAAGAAGTACTAACCTATCCACGAGACACCAATACAGGAAGTCAGAGCCATGAGCAGTACACACCTATGCTTCTGGCATGTGACCGTCTCCACATTAAAGCTGGTATTTCCCCACCCCCAGGGTTTATCTTGACGATCCATGCAGTTCCTGCTCAGTTTTGCCTTGCGATTGCCTACATAGAGACACTAACGACTGATTGGCACATCTCTGCCCAGAAGCGAGAGGATGATAAAATTAGAGCATGGAAATCAGCTGCCTTGTCTGATGATTGCAAAATTGATGCGCAAGTCAAAAGCCCCGAAGGACATGTGATGAGCCCAATACGACAATACCAGGATGTAGGTGTGACAATTGGGGCACTTCATCATGTCGTTGAGTTGATAACTGGATACATGACACGTACTGATATACCCGCGATGCTGAAAGAATACATGTTTCATGTTCTTGCTCAGTCTATACGGAGACTGAAACATTGTGACACGGAAGTATCCAAAGTATTCCCAGAATGCACCTCATCACTGAGCCCTTCCTTGAGCTTATTCATCTCACTTCAGACGGAGCTGAAGAATTTATATGAGCTAGAGACGAAGGAAATGGGGTCAGGTTCTACCCCCAGTGGTTATGGCATTGGCCTGGGTTACACAGATAATGGTCGCTTCAGTACATACTTCCAAGCTCTCTTAGAAGTCTGCTTAGCAATTGCTGAAAACACAGCAGCATCCCAAACAGGGTTCCTTGCTTCAAAGTCTGTGTCACCATGGGAACCAGCCACCAGTGAGGACACAGTGTCTCTACTGCCTCCCCCAACAAGTCCGGTCACATCAAAAAGAAAACGATTAAAGATTAAACGCGATCGTGACAGAAGTAGCGCCATATCTAGTGGCAGTCCCCGAAGTAGTGAAAGCGATAGTTCAATCTCTGATGTCCCAGCTAGGCTAACTGGACCCGGGAGCTCCACTTCTGGTACCCCTACCCCTAGAACTCCTACTCCCACCCCATGTTCAAGTAGCACTTCAGTGACCAGTGCCAAGGAAGACATGCTATGGTTCCATCGTGCTTTGACAATGTCACAGATCTTGCGTCATATTACATGCGGCAAATCACAGTTCGTACACATTATGAATGATGCCATTTCTGATGCCACTCACTCTCTTGTTGAACCAACGGCCCATTCAAGGCTGATCATCCTAACAGGGATTCCCACCAAGTTGAACCCTGAAGTAGTGAAAGGCGCCATAAGAAGGGCTTGTAATACTCATGGTGGCTTGTTCAAAGATGAAGTCTTTGTTCCCCTTGACTCAGAAGTTATCCAAATTGAGGCAGAAGCTTCTCAATCAGAAACAGATGTTTCCACTAGTGAACACAATAACAAAGCAGCTTCACCTGGGACTTGTAAGAGCGACCCTAACCTACCAATTCCCAGACCCCTGAAAGGATATGCTGTTCTAGAATTGAGATCAAGATCAAAGGTGGAAGCTGCTATTAAGGTGCTTACTAAAGATAAACAATTGATAGAGGGACTCACCATTAATGAGAATGATATAGTTGATATGCCAGATGAAAGTTTCTCAATTTCAACGGTGCAGTCAACATTTCTATCAGAGACACAAGCCAACTCAGCCGTTGAGCATTTCCTGTCGAGTAAACTGATACTAGAAAAGCATGATCTAACTGATGCTTTTATGATTGTGCTGACTGAGATATTCCACAGTTGTTTCATAACAGATCAAAACCTGATGAGCTCCAGTGAGGTGGGACATAAGAGTGGCTATATCTGTCTTACAAGGGACCAGATACTCTCAGACACCCCTGGTAACATGCTACATCAGTATTTCTCCAATATACGACCCATCAAGAAAACTTTAACTGAACATGTGAACTTTGTACTCCGGAGATATGGACTCACCCAGGGTGCTGACAAACCTGAGTAAGTTCAAATGAGTTAAATTTTGTAAAAATAGGTATTCAATATATATTGTATATGCACATTTTAAAACCTTGAATATATTCAAAAATATATGTTCAAAATTAGCCTAATCCAATTAGCTTAACCCAATTTTTGTTTCAAGTTGATCAATAGTCTGAGGTACTGTTTTACAATGATCAATTAACATGGTAATCTCAAGCAAATAATAAAGATAATCGGACTGATCAAACCATTCACATCAAGAGGATTCAGATTAGTGAGTTGTTTGAATATACAGGTTTTCCTGTACCTTGGTTGAGCTTTATTTCATGAGAACAATTGTTCTTTATTTTAGGAGTCCCGAGAAGTCAGGGGGTAAACCTAAGCCAGTGAAAAAGTCAAAATCAAAGGAAAAGGCAGCACTGGGGTCATCGTCTCAAACAAGGTAAATATTTCAGCTTTTTGTCACGTTGGCTATGGAATCACTCACTTATCTGTCTATTTGTCTGCTTGTGTGTTTGTGTCTAAACGACATGCACATATGCATTTTATGGGTGTTTTCAGCCTAAGTTGATATCTTCCGATCTAAATGAGACATTTAGTACCATTTTTCCTTTTCAAAGATTCAAGATCTCATGTAATTAAAATATCCAACACTTAGAAAGAGTCCTTATCCATGTATTACCATATCATATTTTGGAAATCGTTGGTATCCTGGGGACTTGCCAATAGATAACATATCGTTTCAATGAAAAACATTCTATTTATGATCAGAAAATATTCCTTGTCAACCAATTTTTTCTGCTTTCTACTGAATGTCCTAATTTTTCTTTGAAGATTGCCAACTTGTATTTCCAGAACAAGCCCAAAGGAGAAACAACATGTCAAGCCACGAGATACCAAAGAAACACCAGAGAAGGCAAAGTCTGAGTTTTCTCCAAAACATGTTAAGGTATTTGAATTTGAAAATTGTTAATGGAACTCTAATATGATTTCTAAATATCTTATGCAATGTAATTTTAATCAATGAGTAAATATTCACTTCAAATTTGAAGTTCCAAATTCTAATGCTGATTTGGGTATCCACCTTGGAGTCTGGTGGCCATCCTGATAGACCTTCAATATGTCCTGTCATCGTGATTCAGGAAATGATAAAAACAGTTATACTTCATTTATTGGATTTACTTCAAACCATATACAGTATTGCAAACTATTTAAAACTGTCATATTTTTGACATTGAGCAAGCAAGTAGTGTTAATAAGGTGGCCTCTGTTAATTAAATTTTCATATGCTTACATGTTTTTTTCAGGAGGTAAGAAAGGAAGAAGAGCGCCTCTTGACACTGGATGGTTTCCTCCAGTATTCCATAGAGAGGTCAGCTCAGGATCCACGTTCTGTCTGGAGGGCCCTAGTAGCTTGTGGATTTGACTTGCACTTTGACAGGTGGGTTGGAATTTAAGAAATAAGAATACTGTACACTGTAACTATATTCATAGTATGAATGAAATGTTATATAATTGCTGAGTCACCCAATGATGTAACAATCCCACTTTTGTACTGAGGGCTTGTTGAGTTACATTGTTTTTGTGCAATTTGTATCTTACAAAGTAAGGTAAAACATAAGAGTCGCCATTGAAGATGAAATAGGCTAATTGTAGCATTAGTTTTATTTCAAGTACATTTATGGGATTTCTCCACAGATGTCCCTATAGAAAAGGTAGAAGACAAATAATCTATAATTAAAATTAGGACGATCCAGTTTTATCAGTTCAGTCACCAGTGAGAATGTACAGACTTAACATTTCATTTTGTTCATCTCGTGTGTATATAATTTTATAAAAGAATTCCATTGTTTTACAGAAGGATTGTATCGGTCCATTTAATTGTGGATTTACCCTATATAACTCTCAAATTATCTTACAGATTTGCTTGTATTGATGACTGTCAGGCCAAACAGATGGCTGAGCAATGGACACCAGAGAGGGACTCCGCCCTTGCAAGTTATGTAAATACATTGTGTAGAAAGCTAGCTGTGTCCCCCGCAAGGTTACATCCCCATGAAGTGTATATGACACAGCATGAGCTGTCTAGTGCTGAACTATCATGTCTTCAAGGTAAACACCATTTAACTTACACTGTTAATTAAGGTCAGACACTTTCAAAATTTTCGGATTGGTTCAGTTTTTGACTCACTCTGTTGAGTTTTTGGTTCTGTTATTCTCGGTTCTCACACTATTATTATTCTGCTATGATAAATAATGTAAAACAAAATTAGCATGCATGATCATTGATCACTATATTTTGCATTTTTACATCAGGCATTTTTTCAGTCAACTTTATTTTAGCGAACATTCATATATAAACGATAATTTTCCCTCAATTAACATTCTGTTAAAAATCGAAATTTCTGAACTGAAGTAACATTAAGGCCAATGATAGTCGGAGCTCTGCAGTTTCAGTTAACCATCTGACCCCTACTGTTATTAGTTAATTTCATAGAAACAGTCATTGAATAAAAATCAAACTGGGCCCAAATGGATTTTGAAATTCTACAATATTTGCATATTTCAGATTTGCCCGTAGAGAGTCTGCGTCTCCGATTTGCGTTACTTCAGTCAGTGAATAAAAGCCTAGAGACGTTCTTCCTTCCATTGGTTGATCTTCGCACTACTTCTGTCTTTAACCACAGTATTGCTGCCCTATTGGCTCAAGCTAGGGGCTTAATCTTCATTGATACAAAGACAGTGTTTATGAACAGAGTATTGAACACAACTGCCAAGAGGAAGATAGATCAGGCACCACCTGAGATTATGTTGGACCCTCTTGAACATGTAGGAGGTAATGCTTCATTTTATCAACATAAAATTATTAGTGAAATGAAAATTTCAAGACCCCTGTAGTCTTGCCCTTTTGAGACAACTGTGCCTCTTTTGTTAACATTTCAAAAATGTATTTCACAACTGAGATTAAGTTCACATAAATTACAAATAGAACTGGGTAGACATGTAAAACCACGGCCAAAACCTGAATATGAAAGATTATGTAACTTTTGTGGGAAAATAGAAAATGAGGTTCATTTCATGATTAAATGCCATTTACATAGAGAAAATAGAAAAATATTGTTTGACAACATCACTAGCAAAATTAATGTTGATCAACATGATCCTGAAAATACATTCATTATGTTAATATCTTCAAAAGATAGATATGTGCAAAAGCAAGTTGGAAGTTTTATTACAAAATCATTCAAAAACTTAAACTTGCCTGGAGATTAACATTTTGGATGCATCACACCTAAAGTATATTATAACATATATGTAAATAACAAGTTTTTTGTATAAATTGTATATATTAGTGTAGTGTAGTGTAGTTTTGTGAAATTTCATTTTGTAATGACTAATATGTCAGGTCATGACATCTAAAGAGTCAATAAAAGATATATATATTAACTACAGGGTGTCAATAAATATGTTCTCCCCTAATTTCAATAGTATGAACTTTTATGCACAAAAGTGCATCTAGTTGAGCTAGTCATCTGAAACCTCTTGTGGATCAAGTTGCTCCATGAAGCCTAGTTTTAATGTGCTAAAGAACAATTCAGATATCTTGCAGTTATACAACATTATGTGGTTGTTAACGTTACAGGGCAATACCATATTTATTTGACACCCTGTACAAATTACTGGAAATAGGAAATCTGGAAAATACTGAGAAGAATCCCAATTGACACATATAAGTCTGAATCAAGTCATCCGTAAACTCAGCTAATTTAAAACCTTACATCATCATGTTTCATCTATTACTCCAGGTGACAAATCTGTATTGCCTCAATCAACCCACCTAAGCCAGGCATACCGTCAACTAGCCGCTGTTCCATCCAGTGATTTATGTGTTAGGATAGCAAGTGGGGGTGACCCGATGTATTCATTTAATGTAAGGATGGCAGGGGAGGAGGTCCATGGCACAAGTAAGTGGCACTTTATATATTACATATCTGATAGCATAAATTGGATAATAATGTGCAGCACTGTGTACATTATAGTCTGGACCATAAATACCTTTATACATGGTATCCAATACAAATGATCTGATTTTGTTCATATCGTAAAACCTGTCCGATTTACACCTTTCTGCAAGGAACACCTTTCTACAAGGAACAGTTTTTGAAAGATACAAATATTTTTCCATTGACTTATATATTAATTGACCCTTTCTGTAAGGAACGCAATGTCTATTGGTCATTTTCGTAAGTTTTCTTATTCACAGATTTTCTACATATTTGTTTCAGGTGGCTCATTTAGACACTTTCTGTGGCAAATAGCCAGAGAACTACAGCAGTTAGAGATCCTCATACCATGTCCTAGTTCAGCTAGTCAAAAGAACAAGGGCAAGTTGATACTGAAACCAGGGCCCATGACTTACTCTGAGGAGAGATTCCTCATCTTTTTTGGTAAGTTTAATTTTTAATTTCATCAATAGTTTCCCCTTGGGGATGTCAGTGTCATAATTAAGGCATCTTAATTCTGATTCTATATTCACAGTTTCCTTGAGGTTTGTGCTCAGAAATTGATCACCTGGTTTCATAGAAATGGTTGGAAAAGATAAACTGATGAGAAATTCTGTAAAAATATAAATCATTTCTTTGTAATTTTTTCAAGTAACTATTACAACTGCAACAGTGCCAAATATCAACATGTCTTTGTCATAGTTTTAGGGTACTTAGTGAAATATGTCAAACTACATGTGACATGTGATTTTGAAGTTTAGATGTTGCATAAAGATTTTGGAGCAAAATAAGCTTCATTTATTGAACTACAGTACCTGTAAATGTATTGTGTTTCTAGGGAAAATTGTTTCTTACTATTCCAGGTCAATTGCTTGGTATTACAATCAGAGCTGATATCCCTATAGGCCTAGACCTGCTCTATATTTTCTGGAAGTCACTTTGTGGCCTTGACCTTGACCCCATCACTGACCTCCAGGAAGCAGACATTCTCTCATATAACTACATCAAGAAGTTTGAAATTGTAAGTAAGATATGGCATTGTTTCTGTTGCAAATTATATTATGATATAAAGGGGATATAAAAGATTTCACCAAAACTCAGAACATGTATGATGCACTTGCATGGAATAAATAATTTTATGTAAAGTTGTTTGAATGATCTTTCAAAATGAAATCCCATTTCCAGCATTGAGCTATTGTAATGGTGGGGGAGGCTCTCTGCCTTGTTTGTAATAATTTGATAATGTAACAGTTTGTGAAACATAGCTATGAATGAAGTATTAATGAAAATGTAGAATGCTGTCAGCCTGTCACACCACTGCTGTTTAATCATGGTTCTTTGTACTGTTGATTATTTTCTGTAGGCAGAGAATGAGGCTGAGCTGCAGGTGTTATTCTCTGAATGTTGTCCCCGGTTTGTCTACACAGCAATTACTGGGGAGGAGGTTGAGCTCATTCCTGGTGGTGCCAATATTTTTGTCAGGTAAGAACAGTCTTACAAAGACAACCTTCTTTTGGACACTTTTTCTTAGGACAGCCTTATTAACGATAGCCCTTTAAAGGCAGCCTTCCTTATGACAGCTTTTCTTTCGGACAGCATTCCCAAGGACAGTCTTTTTAGTACAGCCTTTCTTACAACAGCTTTCCTCAGGAAAGTTTTCCCAGCCTTTTTATGATCGCTTATAAAGTTCAAAAGTATGGGGAATTAATTTATCATATAGAGCGATGGGATTTTATTCAACCCTAGAATATAAAAAAAAAATCCAGCAAGTACTTGATAGGTACATGTTGGATTCTGAAGTGTGTGAAAGAGGATTGATTTAAAATTTGCACATTCAAGCTATGTGGATAATGTCAATTTACGCTTCTACTGTATTCCAGCTGGGACAAAAGACAACAGTATGCAGATGCAATACGACAACTACGAATGACTGAACTGCAGTGTCAGTCAAGGATGAAAGCTCTGAAGGCTGGTATAGGGACAATAGTCCCAGTACAACTTATACCCCTCTTCACACCCTTAGACTTACAACTAAGGACTTGTGGGCTTCCAGAGGTTAACTTGGATTTTTTGAAGGTTTGTTTTCTACTAAATTCAATTTTGTTCATGCTCCAATTATTCGTCTTCTTCAATAAAGTTGTGTGCTGGTATTCCTAGTTGTCCAGTCAAGACGTCCTTGGTCCAATCAATTACATAAATTGAAATTAAATCAGTTTGAAGTTAAATGAGAATTATTTGTAAGCAGAAGTTGATTGGAATTCAAAATCAAAACTGTTTGCCTTTTTATAGAATATAGGCATGCTTGGAAGGATGAGAGCAAATATTGTTACAGTCTCCAACCTTTTTGCGGATGGTGTTTGGATGTTGGTTTTCGGTGGTTGATGGCCTGTCTTCGGTGTCTGTAACAAATGGCAGGTGGTGAAATTTTGCATGTTGATGCCTTGTCTAATATTATAACTTTTACCAGCATATGTGTATTTGACTTTTTCAGGCTCACACCATGTACCAAGTTGGCTTAATGGAAACAGATAAACACATCGAATATTTCTGGAATGCTTTGGAAAGTTTCTCACCTGATGACTTATCTAAGTTCATCAAGTTTGCATGTAATCAGGAGCGGATCCCACAAACATGCCCATGTCGAGATGGTGGAGCTGATACGGCGCATGTTCCCCCGTATCCCATGAAGATTGCACCTCCAGATGGAGCAGGTAAATTGACAAAAGAAATCGTTAAAAACATACGCTTGGTTTCAAAGATTTAATTAAACATCTACATTTATTAAATTCTTTAATTGACACTAGCCTGATTTTGATCAAACATATTAATCAGCCTTATATTTGTTTTGAGAATGTATCCAGTTGTGGAATACATATGTAGAATTGATTGAGATCCTTCCTTTACAGAATTTGATTTTGACAAAATTTGTTTCAAATATTTTTATGCCAAGAATGTCCATTAAAATAGTGCGATATTATACCAGCATAAATTATTCGACTCGTTTATTAAATGCTTTCATATGTAAAATCCCAACTTTTTTGCCAACAAACAAAACACCAGTAAATCAACAAAAGCTTACTTATACTATTTATTCATGTATTTGCCATGCATCGCCTTTCCAGATGATATTAATGGAAATATTTACTTCCTTTGGTTCCAGGAAACCCCGATGTCCGCTACATTAGAGTTGAAACGTGCATGTTTATGATCAAACTGCCTCAGTATTCAAGTCAGACCATTATGACAGAGAGACTCCTATATGCTATACATTGCAGAGAAGACCCTCTTAGTGGATAAGAGTGGCCAAATGACCCCCTGACAGTTTGAATCTCTAGTATTAAAACAGTTATACAGCTAAATGGTTATGCATTAATCAGCTCTTTGACTGGATATTAGTGATACGGCAGCTTTTTAAATCAGAATAAGGTGCTAAATTAGAGTGAAGCTGCAATTCTAAAATCATAGACTACATGTAGGATATTAGAGAACAGTGACAGCATTTCAAGTTCAACAAGAGACATCAAGTTCAAGTAGTAGGGATATACAGTCCGTATGGAAACTGTCGGTTTGCCTGTTCAAGAGTAAATACTAGTTGTCAGATTTGCTTCAAATCTTATAGGTCGATGGCTTGTATGGACATACCCGGACTTCTGCTCTTGAAGGAATGTGGTTCAAGAAGTATTGATAGTTCTACTTCCTTCAGCATTATTAGCCAACAAAAGATGTAATTCTTTTTATTATTTAATATTTATATTGTGGAGATTTCTATACTACATGTAGTATCTTGATAACAAAACTCAAAATTTAACTGAATTAAAAAAGTCTACTTTGTCAAGTTAACTTTTTGCTATGCTATTAATGTAGAACATACATGACCTTAAATTCCACATGAGGTCTGAAATCACCGTATGTCTTGGTAAACCAATTCTCTCCATTTTGTGCCATAATATACATAATCAATTACATGTAGGTGTTGCATATGAACACCTGACGCATCACTTTCAGCTATTTGGGTCAAATCTGCACATACATTACAAAAGTTCTGAGGATTTAATTAAGCTGCTAATTATTATACTTAATGGTGGATGCCTATGCTATTTTTTAAACATGTGATTATGATTTTTGTTATGAACTATTTATTAAAGTTGAAAATCGTCACATGTTATGAGTCATAAGTGATCATTTTTTGTCACATCCAAGCGGTGATGACATGTTGATATTATTTAAGCCTCCCAATATATTGGCATTGACCTCTTGGTGTTGAAACTTGAAACTTGTTGTAAGCATTTGCAATATACAGTGGAGTAATTTTTAAATTGACATTACTTCAAATACCCAGGTTGCAATCGTAGCTTTAAATTCCCAAAAATGAGTAATATGTCAACTAGGCCAACTGTAAACATATTGGGATAACTAGACTAAGTTAAGACAAATTGCCAAATCTGAACCAGTTTTATTTATACTTAAAATAAGTTTCAATCATTTTATGTTGTATAAATATTAAACTTGTGAAATAAGACATAATTTTGAAACATTTCAGAAATTGATTGAAACTTTTTGTTATATGTCTCAGATGAGTAATGATTACAAATACAAAACAATTCTTCAAATCATTTATTAGTGTATTTATTTAATCTTTTACAGTTATGATATCTGTATACATACCGTGTACCAAAAATCATACAATGATATCTGTACAATATTTAAACAACTATATATATTTAATTCAAATAATTAATTTATGGAAGAATTTTATGGGACACTGCTTTGGAGGGAAACTCACAATGAAAATTAGGTGACTAGATAATGAGAAATGTCTGTATGAGTATGAAATATAAATGACAAAAATGTCCAATAACAAGCAAAGGAAACGAAACTAACCAAGGAAATGAAACTAGCCAAGGAAATGAAACTAACCAAGTACATGAAACTAACCAAAGAAATGAAACTAGCCAAGTACATGAAACTAACCAAGGAAATGAAATTAGCCAAGGAAATGAAACCAAACAAGGACATGAAATTAGCAAAGGAAATGAAACCAAACAAGGAAATGAAACTAGCCAAGGAAATGAAACCAAACAAGGAAATGAAACTAGCCAAGTAAATGTAATTAACCAAGTCCAAGTATGTCATCCACCTCACATAGACCACCGACTTCCCAAGGTTTTACAGAGCATCTTTAGAAGCTCTATGTTGCTCAAGTATGATGATGGTTTTGACCTCATCTAGAGGTCAAACCAGGTGATAATGCATAGCGACTACTAGAGTAGAAGACATTTCAATGCAAGAAAGTTTGACATCACCCCACCCGTAACCTCCTTCAGTCGCCTGTATCATTCAACCAGTTCATATACACGTGGCGCATAACTTCCTACAGTCGCCTGTATTTGTCAACCATTTCATATACACTTGTCGAATAACTTCATTCAGTCGCCTGTATCATTCAACCAGTTCATGGAGACTTGTCGCATATTTCTCCATTCGTCCGTGTCCCACTTTACATTTGCTTTGTTGTAAGGATGGAATGACACGGACTTAACCCTTTTCAAATGCTCAATGGGATACTGATGTGGTTCTGCCTGAAAGTGGAAGCATACATTTAACATATACATGCAGGATAAAGAGGTCCATTCACATCTTTCTTCACGGACTTTGAGAACTTTTTCCATTGTCAGATAGCGGTGTCATTTTACAAGTCATCTCAATTTTTTGAGACGGCGCTTTTCGTCCGGCGTCTGTAACAAATGGCAGGCGGTGACATTTTGCATAATTGAGGTTTGTCTCATGAAGAATGATGATAAACAAAGAATACATAGAGAAATGGTTACGTACCTGGTGAAACGCTTCAGAATTAATAACTGGAATTGCGAGTAGCTTTAGCCATACACCTAACGTGTAGTCGTCCGCAGCACGTGTATCTTCACATTGAATCCACGTTGTATGCACAATACGTTCCGCAGCAGCCTTGTTTATTGCGATTCTTGAATAAGGTAATTTCAACTTTTAATAGGATTTCAGCAACTGTGCTGTTTTTGTGAATCGTAAAAAAATACAATATTCAATAAAGGTTTTATCGATAATGGCACCATTGAATAATTTTAAGAATTATATGATATGATTTGGACCTAGCAGTCACACTACTTTCCGATTTTTTACGAGAATGGGCAAAAGGAACTAGAACATTTAAGGGTGTGATGATCCGTAAATGCCATACATCACAGAACCCAATTCCAACGTAGAGCTAGATGTTCTTACCCAGCGCCACCTGTCGGATAGGTCACTGCGTTTTTGTTTCCAAGTGTCATACCATGACCCCATCTCTTGCCCAACACTACCGGACCATCTCCCTCATAGCAACGCAATAAATCATTCAATCTCTTAACGCTGGAAACACATATTGTAACACCAGATAAAATTGAATGTAAACCATCATTGTACATGTACATGGGATAATAAACTGGAACACGCATAGACAGAGTAGGCAATCACTTCATTAGAGTTATCGCCAAATAATTTATAGAATAGGCAATCAAATCCATTCCTTATTGATTTAATTAAAAAAGTTATCGCCAAATGAAAGATATGGACGTACGTATCCATCCTTAAGCGAGTAAACTCTCTTACATGTATCATCACTCAAGGCTATATTTATAATGTACCTGAGTCAACCAAAGAGGATTTGCTCCCAGGGTTCCGACTCGATATTCTGCCATATATGGAGATGTCTTATTGATTACAAAATTCGAATTCAAACAACCATTTTGTTCATTTTAAAATTCGAATCCCAGTTTTGGTCTTATTTCCAAACAAAAATCCAAAACACAAGAAGTGATCGAAATATTGGTTCAAATCTTGGGAGTGTTGAATTTATAGTCAGTTCAAATATTAGTAACGGCATCCTGATATTTTCATTGTTGGAAAATATCGATGCGTCCCTGGGAGCCAATCCCCCTTGTGGGTTTTACCTAATCAGAGTGTTGTCGTCTGCAATTAACAGCCAGTGGGTGTTGAGGAATCGTGGATCGTTGACGAAATGTTGCAGAATGATATATAGTCGGCCGCATCCCCCTGTCATAACGTAAAAAAGAAATGTACATTCTTGCTCATATATTGGATGCTGAACAAAAATCTAAATGCTATCTTATAGCTATTACATAACAAAATATTGCTTTTCTGAAAAGGTGCCAAAATGATCGTCCCCATGTGTTCCTTTGAGTAAATGATTCAAGGAAACCAATCTAATGATCTTTCTATAGTCTAGTTCATCAAAATAGTTCATTGTATTCAGATGGATTAACTCATGGGAGACGAAAAGTATTGATAGCAGATAATTGCGAAAATGTTTATGTCAATGGTACAAGAATTTCTAAAACTCCAATTATCAAATGCACATTTTAATCGAGAATTAAACTCACCAACCGGGCTAGTATTGTTACGTCCAACTATGACAACATCTTGGCCAAATAATTTTCCACCTCGCATTTGTTTCACTGGTGCCACATCAGTGTAGAATGAAACCATACTCGCAGTGACATTCTTTATCCAGATTAACGACGACCTACTAACTGAAATAAATCAAAATGCAGTAAAACTAGAAAACATTCGTGAAGTTCTATGCACGGTTTTATGCTTGACTTTGAATTGAATTTTGAATTGAATGGAGGCATTTAATTATTGATTCATAGATGAGCAATTCAAATCTAGTTAGTTTTAAGGTCTACCTACAATCGGAACCGATTGATATTGCTGAATTATAATCGCTGTTCAGAACATTGCTTATAATATAATAGGGAAGTCAAGGTACACGTTTTGGGAGAACTTGTACGTAAACGTGACGTGCAATATTACGACCTGATGAATTATTGCCCCCCCCCCCCCCCTAGCCTCTCAATATATAGCGTTTTCTTGGTATGTAATTACAACTATTTTCTAATGCTTATATTCAATCGAGAAAGTAAATAATACGAAGGAGGAGAACAAATCCCATAATTCTACATTAAAAACGTGTAACCAGCTTAAATGATAAGTCCTGTCTGAGAAGAGAGACTGCAAAACTAGATGAGTAGTAGACGTCTGCTTATAAACCAAGATAGGACGCTCTTATTCAAAAACATTCCCGACTCAATACTAATAAACTGAGTCTCGCTCAAGGTACCTGTAGTTTATGCCATGTCAGGAAAACCTTGTGAGATAAAATCGGCGAATCCAATTTATCAACTAAATATCTTAATTAAATGAAACAAATCTTAATCAAATGAGATTTATCAGTTAATCTAATGAACTCAATAACCTCATTAGACTACATAACTAATTATGGCATTGCTTTCTTGTATATTGCTCCCCATCGAGTAATTATTTATTATTTAAGGTAGCGTCATACATACTTTAGTCATAGTACTAGTAACAACATGGACCCTCCGATTTTATTTATTTTTTTTTTCGATTTACACCTTTATTTGAAAATCAAATTAATTTCCACCATATTGACAATTTTTATCTAACTGGAATCTTTGCTACAGTTTTAAGCTAAACTATAGCTTGTAATTTGACCTATTTGTTGGTATAAATTGAAAAAACAAAAATCCAAAAACCGGAAGGACAACCATGTTGTTACTAGTGTTAACTATGACATTATGTCAAAACATGGCCTTTTATCAAATTTGTGGGAATCCATTTCCAGACATATCCTGCATATCTTACCCCTTTCTATCAGCCTTTCACATATCTTGACTGCAAAGTGTATGTACGTTTTCGAACTTCCACCACCCTGTAAAGAAATATACATATCAAGTACTATAACGATGCGAGGCATCGACATGCAAAATGTCACCACCTGTCATTTATAACAGACTTCAGACACAGACCGCAAAACGCCGACGAACGCTAAACACCATCCACAAAAACAGAGACTAACAATATGTCACCACTTGTGTTGGTGACATAGCCTAATTTTGAGAAAGAGTCGAAGGCAAATATACAAAGCCGGCTTTTAAAGCTGGCTTCTACAGTACATCAGAAGCCGGCTTCTGGCGTCACCAAGAAGCCGGCTTTTAAAAACCGGCTTCGAATGACTTACAGAAGCCGGCTTCTGCAGTTACCAAGAAGCCAGTTTTAAAAGCCAGATTCTCTCTCTCAATTATTTCGTTGTGCATTATGCATCTTATTCTCGTAAAATTAGCATGGAAATGAGAAAAAAATGAAAATAAGTAAAATTGTAACATATTGCAAGATTTTTGCAAAAAGTAATTTCAAACCAAAACTATGGGGGAAATTTAATTCTAAGTAAAAATATCGATGAATTAAATCATGTTCGTTAAATAAGAGTAGATTATGCATTGCATTTCTGTTTGATAAAAACGCATCGCTCATTTTACAAAACTGGCTCCAACTTGGAGCCAGTTTGCAAATCAGCTCGCTCCATCTTACACAAGCTATGTAGGGGCAATCTAGCAACTGGGAATCACGGGATACTGTTTCATGATAATTGTTATGTGCATTATGCATCTTATTCTCGTATAATTTGCATGAAAATGAAAAATACGTAAAATTATTACATATTTCAAGATTTTTTGGAAAAGTCATTTCAAGCCAAAACTATGACAGTAAATTGAATTCTAAGCACAGATATCGATGAATAAGATCACATTCATTAAATCAGAATAGATTAATTATGCATTGCATTTCCGTTTAATAAAAACGCACCGCTCACTTTTCAAACTGGCTCCAACTTGGAGCCAGTTTGCAAGTCAGCTCGCCCCATATGACAAATGCTAGGTAGGTACAATCTGGTAACTGGGAATCACGAAATACTATCTCACGATTATTTTTATGTGCATTATGCATGTTATGAGAAAAAACTGAAAAATACATAAAATTGTAATATATTTAAAGATTTTTTGCAAAAAGTCATTTCAAGCCAAAACTATGAGAGAAAAATCAATTCTAAGTAAAAATATCGATGAATTAGATCATGTTCACCAAATGAGAACAGATTATGCATTGCATTTCCGTTTAATAAAAACGCACCGCTCATTTTTCAAAACTGGCTCCAACTTGGAGCCAGTTTACAAATCAGCTCGCTCCATCTTACACAAGCTATGTAGGGAAAATCTAGCAACTGGGAATCATGGGATACTGTCTCACGATCATTTCTATGTGCATTATGCATCTTATTCTCGTATAATTTGCATGAAAATGAGAAAAAACTGAAAAAAACGTATGAGAAATAAATTTTCTCTCATAGTTTTGGCTTGAAATGGCTTTTTGCAAAAACTCTTAAAATAAGTTACAATTTTACGTATTTTTCAGTTTTTTCTCATTTTCATGCAAATTACGAGAATAAGATGCATAATGCACATAGAAATGATCGTGAGACAGTATCCCGTGATTCCCAGTTGCTAGATTGTCCCTACATAGCTTGTGTAAGATGGAGCGAGCTGATTTGTAAACTGGCTCCAAGTTGGAGCCAGTTTTGAAAAATGAGCGGTGCGTTTTTATAAAACGGAAATGCAATGCATAATCTGTTCTGATTTAGTAAACATGATCTATTTCATCGATATTTTTAATTAGACTTCAATTTTCTCTTATAGTTTTGACTTGAAATGACTTTTTGCAAAAAATCTTGAATTATGTTATAATTTTACATATTTTTCAGTTTTTCCTTATTTTCATGCAGATTATACGAGAATAAGATGCATAATCCATATCAAAATGATCGGGAGACAGTATCTCGTGATTCCCAGTGGCTAGATTGTCCGTTAATAGCTTGTGTTTAATGGTGCGAGCTAATTTGAAAACTGGCTCCAAATTGGAGCCAGTTTTGAAAAATGAGCAGTGCGTTTTTATTAAACAGAAATACAATGCATAATATTTTTTGGAATTGATGAACGTGATCAAATTCATCGATATCCATGCTTAGAATTCAATTTACCCGTATAGTTTTGCAAAAATATGACAATATAAACTATATTCAAAAGCCATCTTCTGCAGTACGTCAGTAAGTAAGAAGCCAGTTTTAAAAGCCGGCTTCTTGGTGACAACAGAAGCCGGCTTCTGTTGTCCTTCAGAAGCCGGTTTTTAAAATCCGGCTTCTTGTTGACTGTAGAAGCCGGCTTCTGTAGTACGTAAGAAGCCAGTTTGTAAAAGCCGGCTTATTGGTGACTAGTAAACACTGTAACTGAACGATTGTTTATGTGAGAAAACTACATGCATTTGTATACCAGAAGTTTGACCCCCCCCCCCTTGTTGGTTCCCAGATCCGCCCCTGGAACGAGTAGGTCATCCAGAACTTAGTAATCAGAACGAGTGACCACGTTTTTAAAGAACGCAGAACGATCTGGACACACGGCGAACTTCAATCCTACTAGAAACGTATTACGACGTTGTGCAGTCAGGCGTAAATTCAGGTCGTGAGTACACCAACCTGTTCCCTTTGCAGCTTAATTAACAAATATATCACACAAAACAAGTTGTCACTGCGTTCTTTAAAACGTTGCCGAACTGGTTTTAAACTGTGTCCGAACTGGATGAACGTAGCTACAACTTTACGAACTTCATGGACTTGCCCGGACCGGGAATGTGATTAAGAATTTAGAATTTTTCTCTTTTGGGGGCCTTGTTACTGTAGCCAATATTGGGAAAACGGTATTGGAGTTATTGCCCGGAAACGGCGAACAGACATAGGCCTACGTACGGACAGAAACAGGAATATTGTTTTCCTGTAAAATTGGTCAGTGTCAAGGCAGGCTTTTTTTCTTTTGGTCGGTCTTTTACATAGTGGTCGGTCTTTTACATAGTGGTCGGTATTTTACATATTTTTTCAAACCCTGTTTTGAGGCTACCTATGGAAAACACCGACCGGTCGGTGGTCGGTGGGGTCGGTCTTTTCCGTAAACCCCACATGCGTTCATGTTTACTACTTAAATCAAAATCATATGGTCTGCAGGGACAAGTTCTAAATCTCCTTAAATCCTATCTTTACGAAAGAAGAGTCAGAGTGAACATTTCAGGATCCTCATCATCTTTATCACAAACACATGCTATCAAAAGTGGAGTGCCACAAGGATCAATACTAGGTCCCCTTCTCTTCTTACTATATATAAACGACCTACCCGATAATATGAATACTGATTGCTTTATATATGCAGATGATACGTCTATATACTTCCCGTTTAGTACTAAAAATCCTTCAGAAATTGATAACAAAGTAACCCAAGCAATAGAAAGAATTGAATCATGGTCTATTAAATGGAAACTCAACTTTAAACCTGAAAAAAGTGTCGAAATAATTTTTCATAATTCCAGAATTAAACTTGGCCAAGTGAACAATTCCTTTATGAATAATGCTTTAATAAAAAGGGAAACATCGCATAAACATTTAGGCTATACCTTTGATGAGCACATGTCTAACAAACAACATATAATTGCCATAAGAAACAAAGTAAACAAGCTCCTGAATCCTCTCAGATCACTGCAAAAGAAACTAAATTCCAATGTCCTCGAAACTATTTTCATGTCTTTCATTCGACCACACTTTGAATATGGCGCAATACTCTACGATTCCTCTACTCAAAGTGTCCTTAACATATTAAATAAATTATTCTATCAAGCTGCTCTTATATGCAGTGGATGTTTACATGGTAGTAGTTCAATTAAGGTAAAGAATACACTCACATGGCCTGATCCAGAAACAAGGCGGTCAATGCAAATAAATAAATTCATGTTTAGAGTTAAAAATAATCTCACTCCAAGCTATGTGAAAGATATCTTTGAACCTCTGAGAATTCAAAATCCCCGAGAACTCAGATCAAATCCTGATTTCAAAATACCTGCCAAAAGCTCAACCAAATTTAGAAACTCTTCTGTCCTCAATGCTATCTCCCACTGGAATAAGCTACCAAAGTATATTCGAGAAAGCACAACAATTACCAGCTTCAATAACTTACAAAAAAATAAAATCCCTAAGCCCTCCTTTTTACCAACTACTAAATTAAAGTTAAAAAGAAATCAAGAAATAATTGGCCATAATTTTACTTATATTGAAACACCAAACTGCGCTTGTGGTGTGCCTGAAACTCCAAAACATTTATTCTTTTATTGTCCAAATAAAGCACAAAATAGGAACACTTTTCTTGCACTTGTAGAGACTTACAAGCCTTTAGCTATAAGGAACAAAAGCCAATTTATAGATTTTCTGAAACATGGCAGTGAAGATTTATCGCTGGCACAAAATAATGAACTTTTTGCTCTTGTTGCCAATTTTTTACTGGAGAACTCTTAACATAATCATAATTCTCTATGGGACCCTCCAAGCAAGTATTAACTATGCCTACTATTCCCTCACTGAGACTATGACACATGACCCCAGCCTGTCCTATTTCCCATTTCTTATCCAAATTGCTGCTATTCTTCCATATTACATGCATTTACATTTGTAATTAAATTTATGTATTTTCTAGCTTAGCCTATAATGCTTTATAAGCGATTGGCAAGTCATTCTTGTAAAACATGATTATGATGAAATAAATTGATAATGTATAAAAAAAAAAAAAAATGCGTTCATGTTCATGTTCAGTTCACTTCACATAATTTACAATTAAGCGCTTGCCCGTAGCCAGCTTTTACCAGGAGGGGGAGCTTTTTTCCAGGGGGGAGTTTTTCACAATTTTGGCTAAAAATCATGCGAAAAATTCTCAGAATGGTGAGAAACTGCATGATTTTGAAAGAATTTCTGGCCAGGGGGGGGAGCTTCCGCTCCCCAAGCTCCCC